AAATATCCTCCCACGGTGAGCAGAAATTCGCCCGTGTATATGTTATCACCCGTCACTTCAGTCAGCTATATAAAAGGTAAACTCGTGTTTTCCTTTTGCTATCGTCACTTCCGTTTCTCGAAATCTTCATTTATGCATCTATCGTAGCAATGATCTCTGTGTTAAAATAATATTTAGAACGTGTTTAACCAGTATCTGTTATAACTCGTCACTTCAGTCAGCTATATAGAAAGATAACTCGTGTTTTCCTTTTGCTATCGCCACTTCCGCTTCTTGAAATCGACATTACGCATCTATCGTAGCAATTATCTCTGTGTTAAAATAATATTTGGAACCTGTTTAACCAGTTCTATTACATGACTGACACCAATATTGTCCTTAAAGAAAAGTGTGCCCAATCGTTCAGGCGGGAAGATCAATCGACGTTCACCTGTATGCACATTGGCTTGCGCGTAAAAGAACACCCGACAGTTGGAATCCGAAGGAAATTTGGTCGGAATACCGCTGTCCGAGCAAAATTCCCACCCCTTGCATGGACATGTCGCCATAGTAAAGATAAATAACGACGTGTTAGTCTCACAAACACTTGGTTAAAGGGTTGCCAAACCTTGATTCAGATATACATTTATTATCTTCAAATGACGATTTCTACAAGAATAATTGTTATTTTTTTAATTGTTAAAATTTTGTACAAGGTTACTAGAAAGAATAGATTTCAGTATTTATCTTCATCTAGTTTACTCCGTGTCAATCAACTTTCCTGGTGAAAGTCACCACGGTTTTAACTCTAATAGATAATACAAGAATAACTGATAAAAACCATGTTGTTTCATATCTTCATTAGTTTCCAGGCATATCCAATTGATGTTCGTGTAAAATTCCCCTCAAAGCACACTGTATGGCGTATGCCCGTTTTCATTAGCCCAGTTGGTGCAGAATGGTTAGACGTTAAATCCCATTTTATTCGTTCATTAATTCAATCATTCTAATAAGCCGAAACGTCGGTCTACCTGATACACAGGCACTTGAAGGGATTAAAATAAAACTTCTTACTATATATTATAGTATAACAATATAGTCAAGCAGTAGTAAGAAGTTTTATTTTAATCTCTTCAAGTGCCTGTGACCTGATACTTCAATACGGTCACTTGGAGAATATTTTGATTGGCTGTCACTGAATAACACGAGGCGTATTTGTGTGGGAGTAGATTTAACTGAGTGAGAGATTAAGTATGGGGGCTAGGTCTACTATAAATAGATCTTTTATATATACATTGTGCAATCAATATGTAGGCGAGTCTGTCTTACTGAAATATGAACACCCGTTTTCCAAATAGCTACTGATTTAGTAGATTTACATCTTAGTATTAAAGGAATAAACAAAAACATATATTAAAAAAATAAGCAACATTTCGCTGGGTATTCCTGAGGCATGATGTATTAGATGAAGTAATAAAACTTTCTATACTAAATAAAACAAAATATTGAGCTGAGAGTTCATATTTTACTGCCATATTATGATTTTGTGTTATATTTATTATCTTTTGTATATCTGAATTGATATCTCTAAAAAAAAAAACAATCGATTTGCTATTTTTAAAATAAATATTGCTCACGTGGGGTTTCTATGACAGATTATAGTTTTGGAGTTTTTGCTAAACTACGATAGTTTGTTGCATAAAAGTCTAAAAATAAACTTCCGAATTCATTTTTCATAATACCCGGACTTTTTCTTAAAATGGTTATCCCCTAAGCCACGTCACCGAGCCACCACAATTCCCGGAATAAAATGAGGTTTAACGTCCCGCCAACACATGAGACAACTATGTAATTTTTATTTCTATATGGTAACGTCATCTCCTACTTCTATTTCTTCGATTTCCAAAGTATACACGGGAGGTCAACGATATTTAATCCTATCTGAACGACTGGACAAACTTCTCATGTCAGCTCCGCAGACGCCACTCCTGAAAGTAACCGGGTTTGAAAAATCCCGTAGTTTCTTCTATGTCCGTTCCAGGTTTCGAACCCAAGAATTATTGCAATAAAATATTAATACCGAAATGACCTCAAGTGGACGATAAGCCCCATTTCTGTCTCTTCTTTGAGAGCAAGGACAGAATCGAGATTCGTATATAAAAGAGAACACACTGGAGAACAATTCTTGTCTACGATATCACCTTAGGTGGAAGTGGACGTAAAACCCCAGAAACGAACGAACGGAGAACAATTTAGTCTCCAATATCTAAAGTGAATATAAATTTCAAGTAAAATATTTTATAAGGGCAATATTAGTTAATAAACAATACACAGTCGGAGATATCACAATTCGCTTATTTCATTAATCATTAAACTTGATCGGATAAGGGATTGTCCTCGTGTTGTTTTGTACTTCTAAAAATAGAACTTACGTGTATAACTAAACTGGAAAACCAGTTTGCCTATTTAAATATCTAACTGGGAATACCCTATTTCACAAACAACTAAATTCTGCTACTGATACAGAAGCATATGACTGCATTTTGAAACATAACTATATGAAAAAAAAATACCCAAGAAAAGCATTGAATAATGATTTAGGAATTCCTGCAAGAGGTTACCTAATATCTTACGTAATATATTTTGTCTCTTTCAACTAGAAAATAAATGTTAAATTTATATAAAATAACGTTCACAATAAATCTAGAACTCATTTTAAACATACATAACTCTTATCTTGAATATTTAAACGTCTCTATCACAGCAATGATGAGGGGGGGGGGGGTTGTCTCTGAATTTGCACATAATAAAATAATCGATAATATGCTAGGTAGTCAAATTAGTACTTTATTGTCGCTGACAAGTTGACAATTTTTAACGTAGTAGGTCTGGTAGCATAACTCAGACAAGCCTACCTAGGACAAGCTTATCGAGAGGCCTAGGTAGAATGAGAATGAGGGCATGTTGACTAAAGCAGACTTAAATTGTGACGTCAGCCGTAATGAATACAACATGGTATGTTTTTGTGTGATGTATTGGTTGTTATACCACACTGATAAGCAGTGAATAATCGCAAGGCCGCTACAATCACTGATAAGGATGACATCAATGCGACTTAATGAGTCTCATATATTAACTTTTTCCACCGACAAATTAAATTCTAAAACATTTTTTTGATGCATTAGAAAAATAAATAAAGACGTTTGACGTATTTGTAGGTAAAATTTTTTTTCCTATTTAGTGCAAATGGGTATTAAAATGACTAAAAGGCAACGTACTGCCCGAAGCAGTAACGCCTTATGTAAACAATGCACGCGCCATTCACCCATTGTTTGACGGCACATGTTAAAGGCAGTCATCTTTTACAGAGATATTAGAGGACTTTTAATTCTATGTGAAACAGATTGTTGTATACATGAAATGACTTTTAATGTTTGTTCCTGCATTGTTGAAATAAAGAAATCAAATTCACACTCATCGTTATCATTAAATACTTTGATCCTATGTTACACAATTCCTTTATTTCATTTATCATTAAACTTGATCGGATATGGGATTGTCCTCGCGATGCAGTGTACTTCCAAAAATAGAACTTACGTATAGTTAAACTGGAATTAAACCAGTTTGCCTATTTAAAAATCTAACTGAGGAATACCCTATTTCACAAACAACTAAATTCTGCTGATACAGAAGAATATGACTCTGTATTTTAAAGCATAAATATATAAAGAAAAAAGACCCAACAAAAGCAATAAATAATGATTTAGGAATTCCTGTAAGGGAACACGTAATATCTTTGTCACAGTTTTATGATGTAAGCTGAGATAAAAGTTAGAATGTTTTTCGACCAACGTATGCAGCAAATGGCCATAGTGGAGCTCTCATTTACAAAGTATTGTAATTTTTAAAACATAGTAATATAACAATACAATAAAATGACAATATAAAATAAATGAATATTATATATTCACGAAGGAAATGACATTCTAATTAGTATCCACCATCCCCGTCCAGCCTTTTCGACATTGTCTTAAGCTTCTACTTATAGCCCTAACTGTCAATACACCATGTGAATTCGCATTACATGTTACCCCGCTAAACAAATCTAGCGTGCATCTTGGAAAGACTACTGCGCTATACTCTCCAAATAACATGGATAAAGTATCAAAGAAATCCTAAATCACATTATATTCATTGCTTTACAAATATCCGAGAGGAGGGGTTGGGGGTCGCAGTGGTCCGGCGTGTGCGCTTTGGATCATAAGGTCTATCATTGAGTCAAATGGCGTGGTTTCGACCACAAGATTGTACATGACCACGAATAATAGGGTCGCCTACCGTACCGCGTGGGTTTTATCTCGGTCATCTAGTTTCTTGACGCTGTTAAAGACCCCGGTAAATTGTTTGTCCCGAAATGACCTATCAGTTTACAAACATACCCGAATAACTGTATTACAGAAGTATTGTGTATATAAATAGAAATTACGTTTATATAATCGATATTATTATATCTGAAGGCGGGTTTGTCTGGATATTAAAAATAGCATAACGCTCTGGCACATAGTTATACATGATACAATGATTTAGTTGGGTTATCATGCAAGAAATTATTATTATTATTGTTCGATTTATATAGCGCTTCATTACACGTGAAGTGTTTCTAAGCGCATATCACAAACATATACTTCAAACACACAGAAACAATCAAAATCAGGAGAACATAATTAAACACTTGTAATATTTTAGTTTTCTGAAAAAATCATTGTTATTTTACAAGTGTTTTTTGTTCAGTTTTATTACAAGTTGGGGGTATTTCAACGGGTTTTTTGTTCTTGAAACGCAAAACGGTATTAACATAGCGCTTACTTCATCCATCAAAGAAATTTCAAGAATATTCTCTTAATTGGGAATTTCTCCAAATATCATATAAATATCATTTAAAAAACACATGCGTCTTAAGTTGGGGGTATTTCAACGGGTTTTTTGTTCTTGAAACGCAAAACGGTATTAACATAGCGCTTACTTCATCCATCAAAGAAATTTCGAATTGGGAATTTCTCCAAATATCATATAAATATGAGGATTGCTTTTAGAAAGTTCAGTTGCTCCGAGTTTAATACTACGACAACAACACGCTACATCAACTATACATACAACATGGGAAACGATCCTCATAAAAAAGTAAGTGTACTATCATTAATAATGTATTTGATAATATAAACGGCAATTATTGTAAAGTAGCATACCCTGTGGAATAACAAAACATTACGATGTTTGCCTAAAGTACTATGTTAAAATGTTAAAATTTACTATTGCTAGGGTAAACATATTTTTATTGTTTTTCTAATGTATTATATATAATGTTTTTTTTTTCTTCTTTTCGTTTTATTTAAAAAACATATTAATTTTCTTAAAAGCGAGGTAAATCCTGAACGGTGGTTATGGAGAGGGATTTTACCTGTGCGAACCACTGTAAAAGTGATAAAAATAGAAAATGCTTAAAAGAAAATGTTTTATTTATGTAGTGTAACTATGATATTATTTTTGTACTTATGTTTTATTTATTGTAAATATAATTTTGTGTATTTCAACTAAACGGTTTTTGATAAAATCTTTTACTCTATACATAATCAAAATTGTTTGACAAAATACCAGTTTGTTATAATGCAATTTCTTTTTTACAGGACGTTCCGGAAGAATCGGAGTGTTTTCCGGGAAATGTCTTAGTTGAAACAAAACTTAACGGAAAGAAATGTATGCATAATTTGGAAGTCGGAGAGGAGGTTAAAGTTATATTTGAGGATGGGAATATCGGATTTTCTGAAGTATGGACAATGGCCCATAAAGACACGGAGTCCAAGGCCTGTTATCTACAAATAGAAACCGAAACGAAGAGACTGACCATCAGTCATTTTCATTTCATACCTGTTACAGATCAAAATAATTCTATGGTTGTTTATAAAATGGCCAAAGACATCGATGTAAGTAATGATTTTCAAAACAAATCTTATGTTAATTAATATATTTTATCTCTTTCAACTAGAAAATAAATGTTAAATTTATATAAAATAACGTTCACAATAAGTCTAGAACTCATTTTAAACATGTATGACTCTTAAATTGAATATTTAAACGTCTCTATTTGTCTCTGAATTTGCACACAATAAAATAATCGACAATATTCTAGGTAATCAAATTAGTACTTTATTGTCGTTGACAATTTCCAACGTTGATCTATTTCTGTATTTGCCATTCTTGCACACTTAACTATAAATGAATAAAAAAATTTTCATTTCAGATTGGAGATCACCTTAGTACGGTTGAAAGTAATCAACGAAAGACTGAAACCGTCATAAAGATCGAAGAAGTGGAGGCAACGGGAATATTCGCCCCGTTCACTATTAGCGGGTCTATACTCGTTAACGATGTTCACGCCTCAGTGTATGCGGAAGTGGAGCCAGATTTTGCACATTCTGCGCTCGCACCTTTCCGAGAAAAATACTACATCACACCAAAAGATGAAATGGAAGCCTTTCTAAGACCAAACGAAAATGGCGTTCCGACGATTTTTGCCGAGGCGTTTAAAATGTTGAAGCAGTTAGTACCCTCGTATTAAAATTGTTTCATTCTGAAATAAAATGCTTTTAAAAAAAAAAAAATTGTTATATTATATGCGACTGTATATTGTAGTCACCCATGTCCGTTAGTCCTTGTTTATCGGGATCCCCTTGTCAGTAGTGCAGGACGGATGGGACGAAAACTTGAGGTCACGTGTATACATCGGCGTGAAGATAAAAGAACCTTGCCCATAGTGCCGCTGCCCAGGCAAAATATCCCATATAGCACACTTTATGGCATATGCCCGTCTTCCTTAGACCAGTCGGAGGTGAAGGTGGGCGTGGAGTCGGGTTGGAAGGTCTAATGTGGGAGGGTACTGAAAGCGATGGCTAAGATTCCGGAATAAGAAGTGAATTGAGGATTAGCCATGGTTAAAGAATTATATGAGTAATTAGATAATCGGGTCCTTGGGCATGGCAAGAAATCAGAATCATATTATGATAATTGAAAAGTGTCATACAGATTCAGAAAGCTGATGACAATGATTTATATGCTGTTTTCCACAACATCTAGGGAAATGAAATAAAATGGGGTTTAACGTCCTACTGTTCTGCTCCGAACATGGGCTAATGAAGACGGGCATACGCCATACAGTGTGCTATGAGGGAAATTTTGCCTGGACAGCGGCACTACGGCCTACTCTTATATCGAATTCCAACTGTCAGGGATCTTTTACGTGCACGCCAATGTGTACACGGGACCTCGGTTTTTCGTCCCATCCGAACGACTAGACATCTGTCCTTGTGAGGCCCTCCGTCCTGCATTTCTGACAAAGGAGAACCACGCCGTAAAATCTGGATGAACTTTCTCGGCCATTGTAAATGAAATGAAATGAAATGGGGTTTAACGTCCTACTGTTCTGCTCCTATGCTGGGCCAATGAAGACGGGCATACGCCATACAGTGTGCTATGAGGGAAATTTTGCCCGGGCAGCGGCACTATCGCCTACTCTTATATCGAATTCCAACTGCCAAGGGATCTTTTACGTGCATTCCAATGTATACACGGGACCTCGGTTTTTCGTCTCATCCGAAGGACTAGACAGCTATCCTTGTCAGGCCCTCCGTCCTGCATCACTGACAAGGGGGAACCACGCCGGAAAATCTGGATGAACTTTCTCGGCCAATGCAGGGATCGAACACCCGACCTCCAGGCTAGCGAGCTAGCGTCTTAACCACTTAGCCACGTGATCCCCGCGGCCATTGTAAGGATCGAACACCCGACCTCCAGGCTAGCGAGCCAGCGTCTTACCCACTTAGCCACCGTGATCCCCCAACATCTTGGTAATACAGGTATCCCTCAAGTCAGATTCGGCTGACCTAATTCTACTATGAAAAAGACCAAGGAACATTTTCCGGGTTATACAACTGTTTAAACACTCAAAGTAATGCCAAAATAATTACGTCAGTATTTCATATAATGAATGTGGTTGTGTGTAGAATGCGGGGTGGGGGAGGGCGATCAGCTGCGTTTCCTTCATACCTTTCTTCAAATTCTAACTTCGTGCACTCCATTGTGTACATGGTTGGGTCTCAGAGTTTCGTCCTACCCGAAAAACTAGGCCCCACAGGAGCCACCCATAACTAGTAAGAAACGGTCTTGCAAATTCACGAAGGTTCTTCTCGGCAAACATCGGAATTCGAACCTGGGACATTCAAGTCAATAGACTTAAAGCTATATACGACTGATAAATGTGTCATTTTTTGAGACGGTCCATACATGAGATAAAGTCATATCAATAAATCCTCTATAAACCAAAGGTGTGAACCTCTCGCAGGTTTTCCTTACTTCAGCATGACGTGGGATTCCTGCTCTGTCCCTCACGTAAAATCATTTTCATATCCCGTCTGAATCTTTGTACCTGCTTCCAAATGAATCACTTGTGGCAAGTGCTTTACACTTGATGGGGCCACGGTGGCTAGGTGGTTAAGACGCTGGCTCGCTAGCCTGGAGGTCGGGTGTTCGATCCCTGCATTGGCCGAGAAAGTTCATCCTGATTTTCCGACGTGGTTTCCTCTTGTCAGTGGTGCAGAACGGAGGGCCTGACAAGAACAGGTGTCTAGTCCTTCGGATGAGACGAAAAACCGAGGTCCCGTGTATACATTAGAATGCACGTAAAAGATCCCTTGGCAGTTGGAATAGGCGATAGTTCCGCTGCCCGGGCAAAATTTCCCTCAGAGTACACTGTATGGCGTATGCCCGTCTTCATTAGCCCAGTATAGGAGCAGAACAGTAGGACGTTAAACCCCATTTCACTTCACTTCACTTTACACTTAATAAGAGTTGCTGAATCAAGTGGTGGTGTGTAGTTGGGATCCGGTTCTATTAATAGTTCGCTAGGTTGACAACCACCGCATCCTACGACTGACCCACAATAACCTTCAATACGATGTCCATCTTGTGATCGTGTCATATTACCCACTCGCCCACCAACACCCCACGTTTCCCAGGTAACCGAGGATTTTACACGTAGTCCTGTACCATTAGTATTTATAACAAATCATCCAATTAGTCCACAATCACTGTTTGCATCATTGACACCATTATCAACACAATCGCCAGCGCTTCCGAAGGTTTGTTTGAGAAAGGTAGAATTGGAATAACGGAAACTATCCACATTTATCTTCTTTTGAAAAAACGAAACACGCACTTTTTGGAAATCCGTGTAACCTATACTTCGTAGTTTGGAATCTGCAGGTACTTGGGCACACGTTATTGGACCCTTTAAAAATACTGGAGTAGAAAACGTATTAATGACGTGTAAAGTTACATATTCTCTGTTATTCCCGGAAGGACAGTACGCTTTAACCCATGAATTCATGTTTTTAATGAAAATCCAGTATTCACCCTCGGCACCAATATAACCATCACAAACCCTTCTCATTTTACATCCAGTAAACGGCAGACATTCAAATGGTGACCAGGTACCAGTTGTATAGCACGTGGCATTAAGGTATGGGCAGTAGCCAGCCTCGCATGCATATAGAACAGTTTCGTTAAAGAACCACAAGTATTTGGCCTGAAATGACGTAATATTAACATTCTGTATATCCGGATTACCATGACAACCAACAACAACACATGCATGGCGTGTACCTTCATTATGACAGACTGTGTTATTGGGACAAACATGATTTTCACAAGATCCAAAAAGCTGACCATGACGATTGGGAACGTCCATTATGATATTGTTAACCACTGGTTCAGTAATGGTGTTATTCAAAGTGAGTAATTCACATTGCTGAGTTTCGACATCATAATTCAAAGATTGACATAAGGAATAAAATCCACATTGACGATAACAATCTAGAAGTCCTCCAGCTTGATAAAACACCATTTGTTCTCCTGATAACTTTTTTCCAGTCCGCATATTCTGATAAAATTCTTGTTTTAAACACACATTTCCCTCCACTTGCATGCTGGTGCCGACCAAAACCCAAAACATACAGTTAAAAATAACTTCGCTTTTTGTACCCATTGTATAAATCATAGACCTAGTGTTACCAGTTGCTGTCAAGTGGCTAAATCGTGGTAATATTATTGTTATCTTCCAATACTCGTAATTTTCCTATGAACTGTGTATCATCATTGATCGATTAACAGAAATTGTTAAAGAAACAGTTTCATTTTGATTGCCATCAATCTATAAACCAGCACAACTGGAAATTATTAGCTCCTTAAACCAAAACTGAAACGAAATGCGTTATTTTAAAAAAAAATACTTTTTTATAACAGGCTTTAGGCTGTGGCCAACGATTTATCACTAGGGACAACATCAAAGTCGGTAATAAGATGTACGGTAGCAGTCGATGCGAAGAAGTACTACTTTCCGTTGGGACCCTCATGGGAAGTGATGCGATTCGGCAGAAAGGTAAGATTTAAAAAAAAACTAATTTCATTTCATTTTCTTGGAAATTGTATCACCCTCATTCTTATCGTATAGGTATCAGTACACATTCAAATTTATATTTACTTCAGTCATCGTCTCCTCAAAAAACTGCACGACATCACTTTCACGCCATCTTTTCAAAAATTTTAATATATATGAGACTTCTACCCTCATTTTAAAGTTGCTGCCCTTAGGTTATTAGGAATACATATGTGACGTTCCAAGGTAATTCATTTAATTGTGTGACCTATATACGATAAACACAAAAATCGAGCGTAGCTTTGCCATTGGGGTCGGCATGCGCAAAAACCAAAAGCCAAATGAAATGAAGTTTAACGTTCTGCTCCGACTTGGCTAATGAAGACAGGCATACGCCATACAGTGAGCTATGAGGAGAATTTTGACCGGGTAGCGGCGGAACGGTCTACTCTTATATCGAATTCCAGCTGCCAAGGAATCTTTTACGTACACGCCAGTGTCTACACGGGATCGCGGTTTTGCGTTTCATCCGAACGACTAGACAGCTGTCCTTTCAGGCCCTCGGTCATGCAAAACTGACAAGTTGAAACTACGTCGGAAAATACCGATGAACTTTCTCGACCAACACCGGGAGCGAAGCCGCAACTCCCAGGCTAGTGAGTCAGCGTCTTACTCACTTAGTCACCGTGGCTCATCCTTGGGGTATAAGGAATAAGTATACAAAGTTTTGAGACGATCTGATAAGAATTGCGGTCTGTATGAGCAATACACAGAGATATATCGGATTTCAGCTGTAAATTGATCATGTACGTGAACATGGTTTTTCGTCCCACCCGAACGACTAGATAGCTTTCCTTGTCGGGCCCTCTGTCCTGCACCACTGACAAGTGGAAACCACGATATCATATTATTCCTATATATATGTTCATAATATATAGCATCTTCAACCAGCCCTTTAGAATTTTCTTGTACATTGATTAGGCGAATGTCGGCCATTTGGAATATTTTGAGATGTTACGAAGTAAACGCAAAAATGTTTAAAAACGCTTTCTTACAATTCTTAGGTGTAAAATCATAAGTTGACTGGTTTATTGACACTTTGTCACATGATAGCGGTACGCTGGACAATCCCAGTTCATACGCTGGCCATAAACAGCCAATACCCTAATCATAGGACATTATTTGATTAATTTTCATACGCAATTCATACGTTTCGCACATACGCAGTTGTGTGACGGGGAATTTACTTAATGTGCATACATCATTTATAATCGTTTTTTCTGCATCAGACCTTAACTTCTCCAAGCCTTTGAACCACAAGTAATTGTTTAATTGGTATTTTAGATCTTATATTAAAGTCTCAATGCGCCATTTTTAGCAATAGTAATCACATGCAAACTACAATATTGTGAATGATGATTTCCACATTATGTGGAATTGCTCTCAATGCAATAAGACCCCGCGATTTTGTTATCCATGATTGAATCCAAGTCGGGACACCATCTAGTGGTGGTATTTCGATTTCCTTTACTAAAGTAGTTAAGACTTTTCATCTCTAACTCAATATCATCCAAAGTCTTCGACATTGAAAACACATGTTATTTGTCAATATAAATCAATATTGATGTTGTGATCTTACAGGGAAAAGATGGGCTTCTGATATCCAATATCTAAAACAAAATAAACATTTGACCATTGGTACACGAATCGTGCACCATAATGCGTTTCGGCGTTATGTATAACACGTGGAGAATGAACAATCCAGATTAACAATAAGGTCTTATATGCTTAAGAATAATAAATTGTTACAGGCATCTATGATCAAGAATGTATCGGGTATAATGTTTAAGCGATCAAATAAAACGCTTGAAGATAGTCATAAACTTGACCTTGGCCTTGGGAAAACGCACGAACGTACCATGTCAAAGGTGAAAATGGCTGACAAGGTAATCGAACAGCTTTGTAACACAGCTAAAATTGAACGTGACAGGGGCTGTGTAGAATTAGAAAAATATCTGAGTGAAGCAGAAGCGAGCGAAGTTAAAGAATTTGAAGAAAAGCTCTTATACATATTGACAAACCCATCCTCGCCATGGGAATCGAAACATGGAGCATTGATGGGATCAAAATATATTTTGGTAAACAATAATTATAAACATGACGGTTCCGATGCGTTTTCAAAAGATATTCGAGAAAAAGCTGTATTACTTCTTGAAGACGAGGAATTCAGAGTAAGAATAGCAGCAGGTTTGTTCATTAGATTATTAATAAATAAGTACGAAATAGATCTACAAACGATTCATTTTCTCTTTTACAACATAAAGTATTTAATGTAAATATTATTAGATATACGTAAAAACATATAGCCTACTGTAACTGTCAAACTCTCACCACCAGACCGACAATGGGTGAGAGAGGTTAAACAATCAAGCTAAGCAAGCAAAAATTACTATAATACATGCACATAAGGCAACACTACAAGTATGAAGTAAACTGAAGCATGGTGTACATGTACATCGACAAAGGGACTGGCTGAAAGTAAAGCCATTGATCGGTTGCAGTCGAATCATGCGTTCAGCATACATCGACACTTCGGCATCTGGTTTTGGATGCTCAATTCAGCATTTTTATCTTCTACATGTAGCACATTTGTGTAAAACTCTTCTTGAAAAAATATTGGGATTGTTGTTTCACATACACTACTATATACACATAATAATATGTCATATGGCTCCCATTGAAAATAAGAGATTCCAATTTAAACTGAAATTAAATTCATTTTTGCCTCGATTGGGAAGAGTTTTTCTTTTCTCTCACTGCCTCTGCTTTATGAATTAAAGCAATAACTCTCCTTATTATGATATAACTCCATGTCCTGATCATGTATGCCAACTTGGAAGTGCTATTTTAAGGACAGCGATTTTGTGATATTTGACTTATGGATTTTAGAGAAATTTTGTCAGCTCCCCAGCCAAATATTTTGAAACTATCCGGCCATAATTGGATCAAATAGGGTAGGAAATAGAGTATTTAGGCGTACAAGTTATAGCTCAATTTAAGTTCAATATACATGTAACTAGACTTCAACAACTTCCATATTTAATTCATGTACCGGTTTGAAATTCAAGTCAGTAATATTCCTGAATACTTGTTTATTACTATTTGTTTATTCGATGTATAAAGTGTTGTTCATCAGTCGATCGAGACTATGTCTTTTATCGTACTGACTTTTAAAGGCCTAACCTTAGTTAAATCGCTAATATCTCAGTTCAGAGTGGAGCAATTTGACAGAAATTTTCAGCATATTCTCTTTACATTTTTTAGTTTTTAACTATTATTGTGAGAACTGACAGCTTTTTCTCTGATCTTCCATGCCCCTTTAACTAACAACTGGTAGGTGAATCGAAACCATCAAATGTACGAACCAATTATTATTGCAATTTCTACCTGGAATTCATACGGATCAAGCGTCTAAGAACGCACGAATCCTGAGATTCACAATCCATGCCGAGATGTCTTTATTTGCCACATGGCTTATTTTCACAATGGAAAAATGCTTGCCTTGTTTTCATTACCGGTAAATTTTTCTTGATTATTTCCTTTGAGGGGAAATGAAATGAAATGAAATGGGGTTTAACATCCTAGTACTGTTCTGCTGCTATGCTGGGCTAATGAAGACGGGCATACGCCATACAGTGTGCTATGAGAGAAATTTTGCCCGGGCAGCGGCACTATCGCCTACTCTTATATCGAATTCCAACTGCCAAGGGATCTTTTACATGCATTCCAATGTATACACAGGACCTCGGTTTTTCATCTCATACGAAGGACAAGACAGCTGTCCTTGTCAGGCCCTCCACCCTGCATCACTGACAAGGGGGAACCACGGCAGAAAATCTGGATGAACTTTCTCGGCCAATGCAGGGATCGAACATTCTTTGAGGGGAGTCAATTTAGACTATTGAGGCGAGAGATAAAAAGAACACCTTGTTCATCGACATCCAGGACTTTAATAACCCAAAACAACCTATATTTTGCTTAAATACTGCATATATTTTTTATGTCTAGATGATATATATGTACATGTATGTCTTGTAATTATTAATTTCAATAGCAATAACACATGTACATGTATGAGCAAAACAATTTAGATTCTTCATACTTGTGCCAAATAGTAGTTTCAGCTTCTATTTAAAGCAGGATTACTACAGTCAACCAAAATACTGCACAAGTAAGCTTATTCATTTTGTATGAATTAATATTATAAACTTGTCCCGATTTGTTTACAGGTGAGGTAATTGGTGCATTGTGTAAGAAGATTGGTACTAATGTCTATAAAGATACAAAGGTTAAAATACTAGAAGGTATTAAAACAAACCTAGAAAGACAAACATTATCAGATGAAACCACTGATAAATTAGCTGATAAATTGGCACCAGAAAATCTTTTACCAGCAGAGAGTTCTGAAAATAGTTCTGAATATTACTTGTTGACAAAGCAACAGGTACGTTAGTGTTCCTTACCTAATTCTGACATTAGTTAAAGTAGTTTGTAATGGTAAAGGGAGATAACTCCACAAAATGAAAAATAGACTTGTGGTGTATGAGAATATACTTACCTTTACTGTTAGATGTCCGTAATTGTTTATTTGAACTCAAAGCATTTTGTTTTCATAAAACTTTAATTTTTCAGAAGAGCATTACAGATGCAGCTCAGATCTTTCATGATACAGCAGGATGGAAATCACTTGAAACCTGGATGAAGTAAGTATTAATATGAATTAAAAAAGGTGGTAAGCTTTATTTAGTGCTGGCACAATATATCATTGAATCCATGTATGGGGATTCCCCTTTAAACGATACTCTGTATCAAAGAGTGCTTGTAAATATTTGCACTTTTTGTTTTATTATGAATTGTTTCATAATATTCATAAATTTCTGATACTAAATGAGTTCGGTGACAAAAACAGATAAATATCAGAATCTCTGAGAATCGCAAGTCTATTAAAGACTCTGAGAGTGACTTTAGTGCTAGAGAATCCCTTGCAAACTACAATATTATGAAATTTGAATCTCTAATAGGAATATCAGTCCAAAAATGGTTCAATTCTGTTCAGTATTTACAAAGATATATCGAATTGAAAATTATACTACTCGTATGTTTTTTAATATTGAACTATTGACAAGGTGGGACCCTGATTTATGGGATTGCAACTTTTGCTCGGCATACATGTTTATCGAAATAAAAATATTGAAAATACATTATAAACTACACTCCCGTCCAATGGTTTCCATAAACGATGATGAAAAAAATCAAGCTGTCAATATTAATTGACGTAATTAAAAATAATAATGTTGCTCAATTTTACCAAATTACTCCTACAAACTTGAATGCTTAAATCTTAATATATATTGTGATATTTTTCAGATGTCTACAGAATGTAATAGAAGGGTGTGGTTATGGTTTTAATGAGTTTGTAGATCAGGATTTATTAGATCTTGTATTCAGTTCTTTAACTCATACTAATAGATTTGTTCGAGAGACTGGATATTATGTGTGTTCATCTCTAGTAGGTTGTGGATTTAATGATACAGGTAACACTATTTCAAATATCTTGAGATTTTCTAGTGATTTAATGCATGCATGTTAGATTATAAGGTCTGTCAATGAGTCAAGTGACATGGTTTTGATTCCCCACTTGTACGTGACAAGGAGTGGGGTTGACTTGCCTGTACAACCCCTTAGGTTTTCTCTGGGTCCTCTGATTTGCTGCCGCTGCTAAAGACCTCTATGTGCCAGTGAATTATTGAAATAAAAATTTTTTAAACCATATGTTAGTCCCGAAATGACTTAGTTTGTGTCAAGAGGACATTAAACCCTATTTCTCACTTGATGTTCTAGATTTTGCCTTTAGACTTTAGATTTTGACAACTTGTTAGGGCCGATTGTCATTGATATTTTTATTTTATGACTGATAATCTGTCAATCCGAAAACTCTAATCACAGAATTTTTTTTTTCAAAACAAATATCAAAGGCGTGGCTCTGAAGCTTGGAGATCTTAGATGCCACATCTGCAAATGTTATCTGAAGTATTTGCTTTGTTCATAACCATTATTCATGCCATGTTATTTTAATAGCAATTGTTAGTGTATGATTCTGGCTGTAACAAAATTGTGTAATTTTCAGGGTTCAGTTGACATTAGTACAAAAATCTCAAATCCAATTGCATGGAACTTAATTTTCAAAATTTTGACTTAAAATCAGATTTAGATGCATGGCTCAACATATTCACTAGCAAATCTCTTTTAATTTTTACAGAGGAATAACTTGATAAGCATTATATATATAATATCAAGAGTAATGGTTTTCTTGGAATAAAAAATCAATTCCAAAGTCTGAAGCCAAATTCTTGGATCTGTTTGTTAAAGTTTTCTGAAATGTATGGTACTCAGAAATATTTTATGTATAAAAGCCTTGATTATTTGTATTTTGTTTCTGTATTTAGTATCTGATAGTGAAAGAGGTCAACATTTAGAGGGTAATGCTATATATCAACATGGTGAACAATTTGCTGATTATTTAGGACGGGGTCTGTCTGATAACTGGAGTCAGGTATGAGTTTCATTTACTATTTGATATCTCTGACGTTATAATTGTCTGGGCCTCTTGGGTGCTTAAAAAGTTTGTTCTGTGAAGAAAGAGATTTTTATGACTGAATTGATTCAAAAGCATGCCGTTTATTTTTTATACAAAATGTATCTTCATGTTAATGAGTTTTAGCCCCTGGATCCATTCACTGTATCTGATATGTATGTTTGATGTTTGTGATTTCTGTATATTGTGCCTTGTCCGTAAATTTGTCTTGTATATTTGTTTGTGTGTGGTGCTGTCCCCCTGCACTTACTATTACAGTAATAAAAGAGTAAGCACACTCGTTCCAGTTTCAATGGTTAAATTAATACATTATGTTCCTGATTCCAATTTCATTTTTCCGAAGTGTTGGGTAAACTATTTTGATGGGCCGCTTTGTCAATCCAATTAAATCCAAGCCAGACGCTTGTCTACCATTTATATTTTGGTTTCATTTTCTGAACTAAATCAATTTCAGCTGATCATGGCCTGGATTAAGATATACAAATAAGTTGTTGTCCGAAAAATACCCAATCAGGAATGGCAAATATCAAATGATGCTATTAGAAATTGATGATTATATTAATAAAGATAAATTATGTTAATCAAGTACTCCAGAAATGATATTAATACAATAAATCAATTAATATAGATATATATATATATTGTTACAGGTCAGATTAGCAGGATCAGTAGCAACTAGAAGATTTTTAACCAGTTTACCATCAGATGAAAGAAGAGAAAAATTCTATCCCATACTTTTACCTAGAATGTGTTTAAACAGGTATATATGTATAAGAGTTCTAGATGTCACATTAAACATGTCAAGTTTGTTACTCTGGGATTATTTCTAGTTTAATATAAGTATTATAGATGTCACCTTATTCAAGTTAAACAATGAAGGACAGAATTAATCAGGGAAGGGTCGAAATGAACATGAAGAGCAGTGGATTCAACCAAAGGCCCTGGTTTTTGAAGTAGTACTATGAAATATTTGATCTTATTTAATTTTTATTACAATAAACGGTAGTCTATTTAATATATAGTATACATATTTTAGCTGTTATTCAAGGATGTCACATAACAATATCATCCCAGAATAAAGTTGAATTGGTAATTTATGTGATCTTGGACCTCAAGTTTACTAAATGTCATTGTGCTTGAAAACGATAAGAGTATACTTGTCGATACTTCGTGTTTTTAGAATAAACCAGTGATTGTTTCCCATAAAAACCTGTGTTCTGTTAATCCTATTAATTGGTTTTAAGCATACACATTATATTCTTCCTGTTTAAGAATAACAGCATAATATTAATTGTAGAACAATAATTTATTTGATTAGATATTATGTAGCTGAAGGTGTGCGTATATATTCTCAAGATACATGGAAACAGATAACACATGGTGAAGGAAGAAATTTAGTAGAGAGGCATATGCCATCTGTTGTAAGTATAGGTTATTCATTCTGTCTTGTTGTTGGTATTGGACAAAAAAATCAAGGTCCCATGAATGTACACTTTAAAAAAACATTAACAGTTAGAATTGGAAGAAGAGTAGGCATATGTCCAATTTAATAAATCCATTTAGTGCAGAAAAGTAGAACATTATTAAAGAGACAATATCACTCTTGCTGGCTTGACAGCTCCAGAAAATAAATAATAGCCTTATTCTAAGTATTAGATGTTTAAGTATCCTACCTGTTGTGTAAATTATTCATTAAATCCTGTTTTACTTGTCCATAGGATTCGAAAATATTTTTAAATCCAAGTCACATTTGAAAAGCTTTATGTTAGACTTTTCAAATCATTTAGTTGAATTTTTCCAATTTTTTAAATTAGGTGTGTTAAGATGAAATTTGTATCATCAATTAATTGGATTATTGTAAAATAGTACAATTTGTTGACCAGAATAAGGATTAGGACATATTATTCAGTTACAACAAGAGTGGTATTGAGCCTTTAAGCCACTTTGATATCATTTTATTCAGTCTTCAGGCACCTTTTTATTTTCAATTCTTATACCTCTTCCACATAAAACAATGGCGATGCTTGATTGATCACTTCAGAATTGAATTCTGTCAAACCCAAAAATAGTAACAATTGAGTAAAAATGGTGATTTGGGGCTAGAATGTATGCACTGTGTTTAATTATGTCACGATTCTACTCACACCACATCAGTTGTTGGGACTGACAAAACTGTGACAGGACTGAATTCCGCATCACACACAATTGCAATTCTGTCAATTCAGAACGTTCCAGACTGAAAATCGAGCATCCCCAGTGATATTGATATAAGTTGTCTCCCTTTGTCATGAGTTGTCCACTGAATCACACAACATTGTCTGTAACATGTAATCTCTCGGTCATTTAGTTTTCTTTCAACCCACTGCGCAAGATCCCCTGTGCAAGTGAATAATTGAAGTAAATATGTACCACGTTAGTTCTGAAATGACCTAGTTTGTGATGTGTTGAAAGTTAAACTTCATGTGTCTGTTCTGTCATTCAGGTGAGTTTATTATATAGATATTGTGTTTATTTATAGGTAAATTATTATATAGAACAAAGTGATGCTGATAATCATGCTGTAAGAGAAGCAGCTTGTGCTTGTATTGCTGAATTGGGCTTAAAGGTAAATTATTTAAAAAAAACAGTCAACTTAAAGTTGCTGATCCCGATCACACATTTTTTGGACAATAATGTTTGAAAGCTTTTGCCGGAAGTTGTTTCAGAAAATATATTTAAAATTTACATCAGAGATCAGAGTTTAATATAACATAGATTTATTACAAAAATGTTAGTTACTAATGAACCAAATACATGCCATTTAATTAGAGCTGCAATGATATACCGTGATTAAATATACAAGCTATGGGAAGCTGAAAGATGCAAATTCAAGATTATTTTATTTAGGCTAGGAAGATAAGGTGAAAATGTTGTTGGGCACTTAACCATAGTAAAAATAAATAACTGTATTTTAATCTCTAAAGGACAAGATACATACCCCATTCATATTGATGCAATGCTCTGACTAAAATAAATATTTCTCCATGAATGTTAACTTACATACAACAGATTTGATGCATATAAATCACATAAAGTTTTTTTTTATGTCATTTTAGGCTGATAAGGCAGTTGTTAGTCCATATATCAGTAAATTATTAGAAGCTTTATTAATATGTTTCAATGATGATAGTTGGCCTGTTAGAGATGGTAAGATGTATATTTTTTGATAATTATTAAAGTAACATTAGTCAAGCTATACTGTATGAAATCAACCAAGAGCTGAACCATTTACTATATTTCTGTTTGATTAGATAGTAAACAACCATTACATACATTATTAATGCTTTGTTTCGTTTTAAGTTATCATATAAGGGTATGAAGTTTGGTTCTCTACCTTTTGTGCATTGTTTGGGTTGACCCACCCAGGTCCTATCCAAATAATACTATGGTTGATTTTTGGCCATAAGTCCAGCCTTGGTTGTTGCTATTGTAAGTCATGGCCAATAGTCTCTTTTCACTGGCTTGAGTAGACAGATCATATCAATACGTGTTTGATGAAATGTCAGTCAATGATAGCATGTTTTCTGCTGCCTTTGTCAAGTCTATGCATTAATACTTGTTCCAAATCTTTATTCTTTTTCAGCTGCTTGTGTAGCTTGTGGTAACTTTGTTTTATGTTTTCCTGATGAATCAAGGTAGGACATTTAAGATTATTTCCCAAATTCTAGAATATTAGTTGAAATTTGAATTGACATTAGTCTTTGTTTTTACAGTTCCTTAGTTTTTTTTCTTTATTAATTTTAGGGACAGCATGCCAGAATTGTATCCATTATTTTTTAATAATTTACAAGATAATATAGCATCTGTAAGACAAGGTGCTGCCATAGCATTAGCTAATGTTGTTAAAGCTTATGGTAAGTATTTATATTAAATAGTGCATGTCAATAAATATGCTAGAGCATGCTCACTTTCTATATATTCTTTAAATGGTCATTATACTCTGCAGATTATTTTTGTCCAAGATTATACTGGTATGATACCTATAACACCAAAAAACGATTGAGATATTAAAATTTGATTTGTATGCAGTAAGATGGTTATTTTATCTATTTAATAATAAACATTTCAATATTGAGTTGTATGTAATAAGATGGTTGGGTTATCTATTTAATAATAAAAATTTAAATATTAAAATTTGAGTTGTATGCAATGAGACGATTATGTTATCTATTTAGTAATAAACATTTCAATATTAAAATTTGAGTTGTATGTAATAAGACGGTTGTGTTGGTATATTTAATAATAAATATTTAAATTTGACTTGTATGCAATAAGACGTTATGTTATCTATTTAATAATAAACATTTGGCCAATCATGGAGTATGTAGAATGAATTATGGAGCATGTAGAATCTGATCTCAATACTCCTCAGTAATTTTTTCATAATGAATGAAGGGTTGACCTCCAACCTTAGACTCTTACTCTTTTTAATGCATTACCTTATTTGTTGTTTGTTAAGGGCAACATGCATACAAATATAATACAATATGGAGTGGACCTATGGTTATTTTCTGTAACTATAATGTTTATTAGGTGAAGAGAGTAGTGAGATAATATTAAATAAGGTTAAAGAAGGTTTAGAAGGTATAGAGAAACAACCAGCTAATACAGAGAAATATGGTGATCTGGATAAAGGTCCAGCTACCTATGGTGTAGTTAAACGATTACGTGATAATGATATGGACTTACATACAGATAATCAGGTAAATATACATGTAATTCAAACGAATTACTGATAATGATAAGGACTTAGATACTGATGTAGGTTCTTACTTTGTTAAATTGACGTACGATCTACTTTTAATTTTTGCATGATTTCCAGTAATTGTTCTAAATTTCATAAGCTGTTTTTTATTTTTAGATGTATTCTTGTGGTTCCTTGGCACCAAAGATGGGTCGGGGTAACAGAAGTGGAGGTTGTATGGATCATAAATTTCGTAAACCATCAGAACCCTGGGAACTGGCAGATGGGTAAGATAAATGTTGTTTCTTTAATTTAGATCCAAGAAAACCCGTAGTTAAATCAATGCTACACCAGCCAATTTGCTTTCATGAACATGATCGTTTTAAATGGCAATTCCAATAATCCATTATTAAAAGATGTCAATGGACTTTTACAGTGCGGAAGTCTTTCAAAGCAAACATTCTGAAAGTAATCAAAATGCCTTCACCTAATTGCAGTCTATAAGACTCAAGATACACAACCTAATTAGGAATTTTAGTGAGTAGGGCTAAATGGCCTATCACATTAAACTTTAGATCAGAGGTCTTTTATACAGTGCTATGGTGATTTAATAAAATAATAATACACCACTATAGATTTAAAGTTACAATTTCATATTTTTAAGTCATATTTTTAAAATGTATTAAAATAAAGCCCTAAAATAGTTGGTATCTATAAACAGTCCTACCTTGTTGAAGAATAATTCTATTAATTCTATAATTCACTATTGACAGTTAATAAATTGGCAAAGATATCATTTTCAACTTCAAATTCAAACGTTTGAAGATAGCTATCCATGGTGGGGAATAGGAAAACAAGGGAGGTAATTGTGTTATTATTTCCGGTGTGAAGATTTTTAAGGGTGAGAAAGATAACCTCTGATCGTATAATAGTGAGTTGACAACCTATGGAGGAAAAGACATAGAAATAATTATGTTTTGGCTTTCTTAGAAAATATGAAATTGTAACTTTAAAATGACCCTGTTTTGTCATGACAACATTAAACCCCTGTGCTCCCTCTATTGATTGCAATTACATTTGTCAATATCTGTGTTAAATTATTTAATTTTAGATGTATAAATCTATTATCTGAGTTATCTACCATATCCTCTCTATCTAAATCAGTGTGTCAGCTATTACCTACATTATCTAAAGCTGTATCATATCAAGATTATACACAACATGTTTCTTTGTTAGAAACGTTCTGTAAACAGGTAACAGTTTCCTTTCTTTAATGATATTAGTAGTATCTAATCACTCTTATGTCCTTATACACCGGTCTTAAGCTCTCAATTTTTAACCCTCCATAATTGTCATACTTTTATAAGTAGAATTAAAGTATTTCAATTTAGAGCAATTATCAGTACATTCAAATTTTGTCTGTCGGTTAATTTTTGAAGTATTTTTTGTTTACCTCAGAGTGTTTCTACGCACAAGAAATATTAATTTAGCTATATTTACCATGTTTTAAGGTCAAATTCTTTGAAAAATCTAATATTATATCATGTACATTGACTGATAGCCAAGTTCTTCTCCATCCAGTGAATTACACTACCAGTCTGTGAAGACTGGCATATATGACTGAAATGAGATCTCTGGTTTTCAAACTCTGCACCTAAGGTTGATACTTTAGCTAAAGTAAATGCAGTGAACAAGACTTTTAAAGCTTCAAATTCCAGTTGAAAAAAACTTATACTTCTTAATATGTATCTGATATAAATTGTTTTTAGATATCTGCTAATATATATATTTTATCGCAATCATGTTTTAAAGTATATGCTTTGAAATATTTTCTCAGGACCATTGTCTGCTTTCTGTTTTAGTTACCATGTATTGCCAAAGGATTGGGTAAAAGGCCATTCAAGATGTATTTAGAAATGTTTTTGGACAGTTTGTTTCAAAGCTTGGTAAGTTTATGTGCAGTCCACTAATTTAATTAAAATTATATAATCTTTTGTTACACTTTTAATCTTTTGTTGGTCTTACTATTTGTTATTTTTGTAAACCATTCTTGTCCTGAAAAAATCATCAGATCAATTCAGTTGAACACAGAGTTGGTCAGAGATCAATTCAATTGAACACAGAGTTGGACATATCAAGTCAGTTGAACACAAAATTGATCAGATGAAGTCAGTTTAACACAAAGTTGATCAGATCAAGCCAGTTTAACACAAAGTTGATCAGATCAAGTCAGTTTAACATAGAGTTGATCTGATGAAGAAAGTTGAACACAGAGTTGATTAGATCAAATAAGTTCAGCTCAAAGTTGATCAGATGAAGTCAGTTGAACACAAAGTTGAGCAGATGAAGTCAGTTGAACACAAAGTTGATCATATCAAGTCGGTTGACCACAAAGTTGATCAGATCAAGTTGAATTAACCCAAAGTTTAGCTGATTGCACTGTTAATGTCAATGGAAACAACATAGAAGTTCTATTAAATATAGTCATTCTTTTTATATTATAGAGATCTGATAACATTTTAACGGCTAATGCAGCTAACGAATGTTTGAATCAGTTGAGTAATTTTATTGGACCATCGATATTCAGAGGTAGAGTGGAACTTTATGATAGAAAGTAAGTAGAACTATTCAGCATACTCAATAATTAGATTTGAATAGTATGTTCAGCATAGTTAAAATACAGATGTGTCCTCATGCTTTGATGATGGTGGACGTTAAACCCCATTTTTCTCTCTCTGTTTACATAATTATGTATTTTGTTATTAGTCTTGTCTTTGTAAATGTCCATTACAATGTATGTTTCATTCAGATTAAGGACGTGTGTTGTCAAGTTTGTAGTATAAACAGACGCATGCATTAGTTTAAAATTCCCCTGAACATGCTACACTTTATTCCTTAGAGTATTGTACTGAACTTGCACATCATTTGTTGTTTTTCTGAGCAGTAAGACCATACAAATCCAAACTTTTGTTCTTTGGGAACATCTAATAAAATTGTTCTTCCAGTTTCTTAAGGAAAAACAAATAGTTTAAAAACAGAAAGTATATACTTTTTGAGTTTAAACAAAATGATTTTTATTCATAAAGACCCAAAAGAACTAATTGGGTCTGGCCTAACCAACATAGCATTATAGGATACAGTGTATATTTTCTTCACTGACAAGCGAAAAGAGGATAAAAGATTCTGAAGAAAAATCATTCTTGCCCCTAGGCAAACTCTTTGATCCTCCATGCAGTTTGCGATAACACATGTAGATTTGAGTGACATGTGGTAGAGAAACACGTGTTTGAGTGCTGTTTTGGTGTATATTTCAGATATCTGGAACAACTTGATAGAAGTCTTCCACCACATGCACCAATGTAAAATACTTAAGTTAAAATGATAAGTAGTGAGGGTATATCAGTGTTCATTGTTTGAATTATATGTACCTCTGTTATACTTAAATCAAAAGTAGATATACTTAAAAACATGTTTATGCTCCAAGCTATTAATGCCATGATATACAGAATTGAAGAGAATGAAAATTACAATCTTTAGGTGTTGATTTGCATAATCTGAGTTAAAATAATTACTACATTCAGTATTTTTGATCTTTAGATGTTCATTTGTGTAATCTGACTAAAGTTGATAACTAAAATTTGCACTTATCTTTAGGTGTTTTAATAGGATAAAGTGGATAACTGTATATGCAACTTTTGATCTTAATTTGGGTAATCTGAGTAAAGTTAACTACTAAGATCACTAGTGATTTAAGTTTCATTTTAAATGCATAATCTCACAGAATTTAGCACTTTTGATCCTATGTTAGTTTATGTAATCTGAATGAAGTTCATTACACAAATTAGTAATTTTGATTTTAGCTGTTATATTTGTGTAATCTGAAGATAAATTGTTTATTAAAATTGGTAATTTTGATGGTTATTGTGATCTTAGTAAACTGGTTACAAAAATTTGTAATTTTGATCTTTATTTGTTAATTAGTGTAATATTGTTAACGTTATAATATACAATTTGCACTTTCGATCTTCAGGTATCAATATGTGATTTCATATTTCTAAAATCAGTACTTTTAATCATTAGGAATTAATTTGTGTACACCAAGTGAAATTTTTATACTAAAATTAATACTATTATTAATTCTGATCTGCAAGAAACAAATTACTAAACTTGAGGGCCATATGATCACATTTCTAATCAAATTTTATTTTTTTAACACTTCAATACTCTAGTTTAAAGATACATTATGGGAGATAAGATAAAGAGTTGGTAGTTCTAACTATAATAGTTAAAAACTAGGTAATGTAAATGGAATTTGCTGAAAATTTCAGTCAAATTGATCCACCCTGAACCGAGTATTTAGCGATTGAATTTTGGGCCTAGCCTCGATCCGCATTGTCACTTGGATAAAAAACATAGTCTCGCAGCAGACCAGGTTCTAATCCAGTAAATATTGCAGGCTAGCGATGCGATGCGATCGGGAGTTGATTATGATCTGGATAAGTTAATTAATGTCTAATTAAAAATTTAGATAACATTTCAGGCCTAAAGAAAGACCTGCAATAGGCAGATTTAGCTCTTGCATAATGTATGTTTAAACTCTTGTGTACCCATGGCCTTTTGTTTATCATACTTATATTTGTCACACTTGTGTACAAGATATAATTTTCAATTGAATTGAACCCTAAGTTAATTTTTGAAGCTAAGGTTTTAAAAAAAATTATATCAATGCCTTTTGTACTGAGCATATTTTTTCTCTGTATATAGCCTATTGTGATTTATGTACATATGAGTGATTCATCACGCTAAATAAAATATCAAAATAATGTATAAAATCATAAAACTTTATGCCAGAAGTGTTAATCAGCAGATATTTAACTTTCTTTTCTTTTAAATTTATTTGTATGTCCTTTTGTGCAGTATATGTTAGAAAACTTACAAAATTTATTAAATTTTAAATTTATTTGTATATCCTTTTGTGAAGTAGATGGTAGAAAACTTGTAAAATTTATTAAATGGCCCTGGATTGTGAAGCAAATCAAAACACAACTACACCATACCGACAACACAGAATATTACTTCAAAATAATAATTATGTTACCTGGAGAAAAGATTCTTTAAAAAAATTGGTAATTATAAGATATCTATGGGGTTCCACTTTTATTTACATTGTCTATTACAATAATAATAATTACTTTTTAGGGCTTTTAAAATTATATACAGTTTAAAACACAAAATATTGTATTGATGTTTGTCATGTTTTAAGTTTAATATTTTGACATAAATATTTTCACTTGTACAACATAAAGTATAATTATACATATTCCCTCCTGTAATACTATGTATTGTTATACCCAAAATGTCAGCTTTAATTTTATATACTTGTTGTTGTATAAATTCTTAAAAGAAATAAAATTTGATTTTCAATTAAGAAAACAGGCTTTCTATGAGCCCACATTGAAATGCGGTCATATATTGTCATCGCCTCCGGCTGTCTGTCGGTCCCTCCATCGGTACAACGTCCACAGTTGCTTGTGGACGCTTTACGGGCTAAAGTTAATATCTGCTTGACTTTAAATTTATACTCAGTGTTTAAGGTCATGAAACGAAGAAGTCTATTGCTTTTCAACGAATTCCACAGTGTTTAAGGTCATGAGACGAAGAATCCTATTGATTTCCAACGATTTCCTATAATTACTGCCATAGTTATGGCCTTTGATAACTATTAAAAATCTTGAGGGCTTTTTAGAGGCTAAAGTTAATATCTGATTGACTTTATAATTAATACAGTGTTTAAGGTCATGAGACGAAGAAACCTATCAATTTTCAATGATTACCAATGATTATGACAATTGATATTAAATGTTTTGTATGCTAAATGTTAGAATAGGGCAGAATTAGAACCGTTGTTGACTCCACAAATGACTTAGCTGCTGTGGGCGTATGTTTCTGCTGATGGCGTATGTTTCGTGGCCTGGCAATCTATCTTTATGATAAATTCCTGCTAATCACAGACGCGAGCGTTTAGGACAAATGGGATGTGACAGAGCGCAAATGTAAAATTTAATGAGAGAAACGTCAAAAAAAGCATTTTCCCACAAAACATTTGTCATTTAACACTTAACATTTGACGTTTTACATTTAACTCTTGCCTTAGAGGTATTTTGACTTTATCATTATCGGTATTAGGACTTTGTGCATTTTACTTTTTACATATAATAAATGGAAACGACATTGTCGCAGAGCATTTAATATTGGCAGCGATACCCTTCCATGGAAAAGATTGTTATAAAAAAATTAAATTGAAATTAAGAAAGATATGTCGGTTGTAAAAGTCCAACGGCTTTGTTCATCAATGAGAATAATACAGTCAAAAACATGGACCAAGATATATAAAAATAAACTTAACAACACAATCAATATTATACAGATGAATGGTTATAATATATCATATATTATTATATCTATACCATAATCTTTCCTTGTCATTCATATTTTACTATATACTTCGCTCGCTTTTGACAAAGAGTTATCCTTCTGAATTGGTGACCCATTATGTTAACTAAACAATAGAATAAATATAGACTTCTTTTTTATGGCTGTTTATTCTGCACTCCTGTATGTTGTCTGTTACCAACGTGATCATCAGTTAGATCCATGATTATTCTTAAAAAAATTTTTTTTATTTGACTGAGTGATGGAATTATGAAATATCGATTATTATGTTTTAGTCCCGACCCGAAACTTGTATGAAAACAAGGGAGGAGGGGGGGGCCGAATGGTTAGCACGTGCGTGCTGTATCATAAGGTCTGTCATTGAGTCAACTGGCGTGGTTTCGAATCCCTGGTTGTACCTGACAAGGAGTAGGGTCGCCTGTCCAACCTCGTGGGTTTTCTCCGGGTCCTCCGTTTTCCTCCCACTGCTAAAGACCCCTACGAGCAGCTAGGCGGATTATTGAAATAAAATTAGTCCCGAAATGACCGTGTTGTGTCGAGTGGACGTTAAACCCATCTCTCTCTCTCTCTCTCTCTCTCTCTCTCGGTACCCTACATCTAGCCTCGACTCTGTGACAGTAAGTGATATGCACCTACGCCTATACAATTCCGATGCGGCACCGGTTTACTTACTAGGAAAACTTGCCGCTTTTAGAAAGAAGTTCTCGCAATTGCGTCGTTCGAAGAGAGTGTGTAGAATTTTCAGTGCAAACTTGTCAAAAACATTGTTCAAAGGCGACGTCATGGACAACACCTTTGGTAATCCCCTCTCTCTCTCTCTCTCTCTCTCAAGTGCAAGTGGTTGCTTGAGTGAAGTCAAAGGTTCTGTTTCACAAATCACACGGAAGACAATGGAGCCCCAACCAGAATATCCCAGGTTCGACTCCCGATTTAAGCCGACGAGAGCCATCATTCTATACAAATTACAACGCAAATTCTCCTCCTCGAAATGCTGAACTACACATGAACATAAGAAGTCTAAAAAGAACAGCTGTAATGGACAGTTATAACAATGTACAACTATATGACAGTTTATTATTATAAACAATACGGAATACATAATACTATGTTAGAATGCAAGCCCGGTATTTGAATAAGGCACATGTTGGTAAAACAATGCTAAATGACAGTTTTATTTTGTTATTTCTGCTTGTAAAAAATAACAGAAGTAGTTTTATTCTCGCTATTACTATGGCTTCAAAATTAAATTAAGACGTCTCCAAAAATAAAACATTGCCAGTTCTCAAACCCCTTTAGTTTGAGGATACTCTACTTGCTGTTTTTTTTATATAGAACGACAACGACAACGGTTATCATTTAGTTTCAGTAAAATGCGTGTTATCGGTTTGTGTGTTTTTTTCATCTGTAATAATTTTAATTTGGCCATTCTCTGTGTCGATGGTCGTGTCGACTTTTTCTTCTAAAGCTATTCCAATCTTGAAAGTTTTAATGACATACAGAAAAGACAGAAATAACAATAAGAATCCTGAAAGTAAACAAACGGTGGTTTTTGAACTTAATAATCACAGTCGTGTTCATGAAGTCTTTGGTCGTTTCGGCGTGAGGTTGTGGGGACTTAACACGTACGAGTGTGCTATATTATTATACAATCTGTTTCACAGAGAATTACGAGTCTCGTATAATATCTCTGTCATAGATGACTGCCTTAACACGTGCTGTCACAGCACGCGGTGTGAATCATTGGCTGAATGGCGCGTGCATTGTTTACATAAGACATAACTGCTTCGGAGAGAATGCTGCATTTTAGTCAATTTAATACCCATTTACACTAAATCGGAAATAATTTTTACCTACAAATACGTCAAACGCCTTTATTTATTTTTCCAATATATACAAAAAATGTTTTAAAATTTAATTTGTCGCAGGAAAAAAGTTAATATTTCTAGCTCATTAAGCCGCATCAATGTCATCCTTATCAGTGATTGTCGCGGCCAAGCAAATATTCACTGCGGATCAGTGTGATTATTATAATGGACCAGAAACCGGACATGTTGTCGTCGAAATGCGACGTCATATCTACAATCGACGCCTGTCAATCAATGCGCATATTTCAACGAGGATTTTTTTAGTTCCATTAAATTCACTAAAGCATTTCCATCGTCACATTGTATACTGGCAAATTTTAGGGAAATCTCCAACAGATACTACGAAAGTGAGCTGCCTGTCTTCAGTATACGTACCACTAAATAAACCAAGAGGCTCGTATATACCATTTACAAACATAAGTATAGAGATCAGAACATAAAGTATTCCTCTCTTCCAGATATCAACCCATAAAACACCTGACCAACACATACAACAATACCCTTCACGACTGAAATTAAATTTGAAAGGGATGGTTAAAGCTATCTACAATTTAAGAGATTTGAAAGAAATAATAACCTAGCATTATGACTTGTTCAAAAAATTAAAATCAAGTATAAATTGAGTACTGTAGTCCTGGTATTGATATTTGTGTAAATTGTTGAATGTTTTTTTTAAAACATTCTAGAATGAATGAATAAATGAAGTTAAACGCCCTACTTGGAATGAAATGAAACTTAATTTCTTACTATTCTGCCAGCGAATTAATGAAATAAAATTGAACCATATGTTAGTCCCGAAATGACCTAGTTTGTGTCGAGTTGACGTTACCCCCCCCCCCCCCTCCAAGTTAATAGGTTACCGTGGCTTCCCGGTAATGGCTGTATTATATAACTGCTTTGAGAGTCATTCGACATAAAATATGTTCTAGTAACATTGTATAAATCAATAAATCGTACGGAGCCCCTTAAGTGCACGACTTTTTTTTGTTCACGATTGCACACTTATATAATTATTTCGTTTAAACAAAATATGAATACGTTTAAACGAAATATGAATTCGTTTAAACGAAATATGAATTCGTTTAAAGGAAATATGAATTCGTTATAACAAAATATTAATTCGCTTAAACGAAATATTAATTCGTTTAAACGAAATATTAATTCGTTGAAAGCGAGAATTTCATATTTTCTAAGAAAGTCAAAACATAATTATTTCTATGTCTTTTGCTCAATAGGTTGTCAACTCACTATTATACGATCATAGGTATCATTCTCCCACTTATAAATCCTTGACCCCGGAAATAATAACACAATTCCCCCCACCCCCATGGAATAGCTATCTTTAAACGTTTGAATTTGAAGTTGAAAATGATATTTTTGCCAATTTCTCAACTGGCAATAGTGAATTATAGGATTAATAGGATTATTCTTTAACAAGGTAGGACTGTTTATAGATACCATCTATTTTAAGGCTTTATTTTAATACATTTTAAAATATAACTTAAAAATATGAAATTGCAACTTTAAACGAAATATCAATATGTTATAACTCGAGATCTGTCATTGAGTCAAGTGGCGTTGTTTCAAATGACCGCTTCTACGTGACATGGTGCAGGGTCGCCTGTCCAACCTCGTGGGATTTCTCCGGGCCCACCTGTTTCCTTCCACTGCTAAATACCCCTACACGCAAGCAAATTATTGAAATGAAATTGAACCATGTGTTGATCCCGAAATAACATAGTTTGTGTCGCAGTTCCAGGGTTACCGCCTCAAGCCTGACCGCATATCGATAACGATAGAGACCACGATTGGGGTCATAAGTCGACGTATTAAATCGTAAATACGAAAAATTATTTCGTTATAACAAATTAACTATTTCGTTATAACATATTAATTATTTCGTTATAACGAATAAGTATTTCGTTTAAACGAATTAGTATTTCGTTTAAGCGAAATAATTATACAAGAGTGGAATCATGTACGAAAAAATTATATAAGAGTGGAATCGTGCACATAAGGGGCTCCAAAAATTTGACCTCTTTTCCAGGCACACAACTTTAATTGTGGACAGATACTTACAGACAGCAAACAGATTTATCTATAACCCATGTCAATTCAAAGAATGTGACTACTATGGCCACTGCCCTAAAAGAAAACAAAATCATTAGTATTTGAAACCTTTTTTGAATAGGTTGTTCATTAAATGATCCAATTAAAGATATGTACAATAATAAATTACAACAATCGCAAACTTTCCATTCATGTGTAGTAACCTATCTAAACCGTCGGTCTATGGTGTTTATATTCCTCAGCTCACCTGTTGTGTTGGAACCTGCACGGTCTATGTTGACTTCTAAGCAGAGGAATTCTGTTGACCTGCTAATTGTTGAGACATGCTCACAAAGTTTTACGGTCGTAGAAAGGACATTGTTAATGAGTATGTAATCTATGTAAACCATAATCGAAGATGTATTCAATTAATAACAAGTTTATGCTTTTGCATGTTTATAGTAGTTGTGTGTGTCGTGCACGAGACGGCATATGCGCATTATTTTTGGAACGCATTTTACGACTTTGCTTCTGGAACTGGCGTCTATAATTAACACATCCCAATGGTAAAGTTCACATATATTGTACTATTACACTTGGGGGGGGGGGGGCTGAATGGTTCGCACGTGCGTGCTGTATCATAAAGTCTGTCATTGAGTCAACTAGGGTGGTTTCGAATCCCCGGTTGTACGTGACAAGGAGTAGGGTCGCCCGTCCAACCTCGTGGGTTTTCTCCGGGTCCTCCGGTTTCCTCCTACGCGCAAGCGAATTATTGAAATAAAATTGAACCATGTGTTAGTCCCGAAATGACCTAGTTTGTGTCGAGTGGACGTTAAACCCCATTTCCCTCTCTCTCTCACTATTACACTGATTTGTCATGCTATATTTATTGACTGTTATCTTATTGATCTAACTGTTAAATCTTATAATCATTTAAAAAACTGCAATAAAACAGGATATAGACAGCAACTTACAAGATATACCATCCTATATAATCCATATTATGAACAGCTTTAATTCTTAAAATTGCTGAAACCCACAACACTAGAACGGAAACAAATATTCTGATGAAAAGATTTTAAAGACCCCAAAATGTTATAAATCCCCTCTCTTTTTTGTTAATTGATTTGTTACAGTTAAACATACATTATGCAAGAGCTAAATCTTCCTATGGCAGGTCTTTTTTTAGGCCTGAGATGTCATATAAACTATCAATTAGACATTTATTAATATGGCAAGACCATAATCAACTCTCGATTCCATCGGATATATCCGATATTAAACAGATTAGAACGGTTCAGCCATCTTTTGATTTAATCTAAAAATGGAGAAGGGAGACTTAGCTTCGAACAACCAGTACGGTGGTTGCAATAAATGCACACGTCTTGCCAAACCTTCAAAGGCTAATATCTTTGCTCGCAATAGAGTAATTTGAATGGAATTTTAAAATTATTCATTTTACATTATCTATTTTCGAACTATTATAGCAAGAATGGCTAGCTCTTTATCTAAATCTTACATAATGTATCTTTAATTGAACAAACTAATGATTTTTAGTTTCTCTCGAGTGTTCACCAATGTCGCTTTAATACGCTAGACTTCTGTGGAATAAACAAACACTTTCAATTTTTTTACGGTTTTACTATTGCAATATAGCGTGGCTTTATATGATAATACGATTATCTGAAATGTCACGCGGTGTGTTTTATTATGTGATTATATAAACGACTGACTATACCCCCCCGTAAGTAAATTGAGCCATATAATATACGATGACTGACTGAACAGTTCTAAGCCTGTCTGTGAAAGACCTGTACAAAGTCAATGGTTTCCATTTATTTTTCTACATAATCCCCTTAATTCGCGGTGTACACACTTTTCCCAACGATGTTGCAAGGCCTAGATGCCGGGCAGGAAGAACTTTTCTTCAGCCATCCTAAAACATGTCGTTCCCAGCTGACATGACGTTATCAATACTAGGAAAATGACGACCGGCTAGTCCCTTTTTCATTTTTGGAAACAGGTATCATCCATGGTGACAGATCTGGCCTATCAGGATCTGCTTCAAAACGGCGCAGATAGCCACGGAACGTTAGAAGTCTGACACGTTTCTGATCCGCGGTCAAGGGCGTTGACACCCATCTTGCAGAAACTTTTGTCAATATCGTTGGCGATATTGTGCTTAACCCTCTCGTGAGATTCTCACAACGCAGGCAATATGTCGATTGGTCAATCGTCGATCAACCATAACCATGTAATGTTTTCTTGAATGGTTGCTGGTATGACCAGCGGGTCCTCGTCAAGGCTCTCTCTACCAGGCTTAAATTCCGCAGCCCACTTCTTTACTGTGGAAAAGGAAGGTCATCATCCTCTAAAGTGGAGACCATTTCGGTATCATTCTGTGTTGGGGTATTTGATGACTGCTTATAATATAGCCAGTTTTGTCCATTTCTGGTGATTTCAATGGGTAGGTTCACAAGATGGTCGGGAACGAAGTCAGTAACAGCACGACAGTTGCATTTTTTTATGTCTATGATTCATTCAATGATTGTACTTGTTGGTGGCAAAAGTTTATTTCAACCCTATTGATCTACCCTCTTCTGGCTTAGAACTTTTCAGCTAGCCCTCGTACGTTATACTTTGTGGTAAGAGTAAAAATTCTTTCGAACCTTTAAATAGACGAATATGGGCCTAATAGTATAAGTATATATTAATATAATATGAATGTATATAACGTGATTTAATATCCAATTTGAAAAAGAATTATTGTAATTTCTAATCAATTATGTTCGCTTACGCCTGCTTGGTTCATTCTACACAGGTTTTTTTTCTATTGTTTTGTCGTTTGGCAATCAGCCATTACTAATTACTTTCGCATTGTTTTGTAGGATATGTTTTTCTTTGACCATTGGAAATGGCGACCGAACCTATAGAATACACGACAGGTGTGCTGATTATAAAATGTACATCGTATCTTAAATATTGGATATATATATTCACGACAAGATAACAACAACAATATTGAATGAAATGAACCAACATTGAATTCAAATGTGTGTTTTTAATTTCAATGAAAAATATTGAGTTACAGGTTTAGCTCCTTTAAGCAACAGTGGACATTCTTTTAAAATATATCTAGAACACCTGATGCCACATCGTATTTATTTGTGAAGACAATAAGATGAGCAAGAAGGTGTATTACTTACTTATTACTGTTATCAGACCAGATATTCTAGCTATGATAGTTATATACTTCAGGAAAAATGGCTGATGGATGTATTTAGCTTTAGGTGTTAATACCGTTTTCTCGGTGTGCAACGTTTTCATTTGGATTTAGATTTGTCACACCATTCTAGTACTGAAATAAAATTTTGAGCGTGTATCACAGAGATAGCTGATTAGAACTTTCACAGGTACAATAGTTGTTTAGATAAACATGTAAGATATGTTATGAGTACAGTATTTCTATAGGTATAAACAGAAACATATTTAATAGATGGTATTTTATAGGTATAAAGAGAAACAGGGGAGGAGCATATGGTTGATACTTGGATACTTCGTTTTAAAGTATTCAGTAACAATTGGAGATTTGACACCTGTTTAGCCATGACCTCTACCCCAATTTCGTTGCTACAGATTAGATATAACCAGAATATAACTGTATAAAATAGTTATTATTGTGAAGTATACTGATCTAGTGGAATTGAAATTTGTTTCAGCTATGAAAGTGCCAGTTTAGAATCCGGATGTAGTTCCAATAAAATCAGTTTAATTGTAACATTCGTCAGATAATGTGCATAAACGATATGTTGACAGCTGTCATTCGATGGTGTGTTGGTTGTAAAGCCCACGTTCTCTCCAAATGTTTATCCTAATATTGCATACATGTATCTAAGACATACAAATAAACACATCTTACTTTCAAAATGTCTAGTGTTGTGGAGACATGTAAATTTGTATGTTAAAATGAAATGATAATAAATGGTATTTAAAGCCAAACTTAGCGCCATCTGGGAAATAAAGGCCGGTATACAACATGCAATGTGATTTGAAGGACATTGGCGCTACAGCCTACTCTTATTTCGATTTCTAAAGTGTATAAGGGACCCTCCTTTTTGTACAACCCAAAGGACTAGAGGCTATGCTCAGTGCCAAATCCCCCGCCCAACACCACTGGCACTGAGGAATTACGCTGAAAAACCAGAGGAACTTTATCGGCCAACACGTGGATCAAACCCGGGACCACCCGCTTAGCAATACAGAGCAATACAGTGCCTTACTCACCGAACCACCACGGCTACCAAATGTGTATTCTAATCACAAACAAAACTATAATGAATTTAACGTACCTATGCAGAATGTTCTAAACACGCATATTCCATTTATGATACATTCTGATATAAATGTATACCGTACTAAAAATAGGCATTTCAAGATTAAATATATTCATGCATTGTAATAAATAAGTTGTTAATTTGTTGAAAATCAATATGCTTAACACAAGTAATGTTGTGTGTTATTTAAATTACACAATGATCGGGGATCTTTATTAATCTTCTCTTGTGGGAATTTTCTTCTTTACAGAGGTTTAGAACATAGCAATTTCATGCATTTAACGGCCATTTTGTTTTGATGGCCCAACAGACACCCTGGCGGAAAGTAACTTACGAAGCAGTATTTTATAGATCACCACGGCAAGGTTCTGACTACGAGTTGTAATTGAAACAACTGTTGAGAAATTGAACACGCGTCGAATCCAACAGTGTAATTAATTGAATGGATGGGTTGATGATAATGGTAACAGCTGTACAGTTTATTACGTTTTGTATGAGTTATTATTTCCTGGGATATGATTAAATCGCAATAAAGATATATTTTCAGTTTATATATGATTTGCCATTAATTCATGTATAATGAAAATACAAGGAATCTTATCCATGTATTTACTAGTATTAACTATACTCTTCACAAAAAGTAGGGGATATTGAAATGCAAATACCTATGCAGGTTATGATATGATAAATAGTCATGGACACTTGACATGCTTTGAGAGTATGTCCACAGATGAAGAACTTATCGCCCCAACAGAACCACTGAGCTGCACATAGGACACGCAATAGCGCCATACACGTGAGAGGGGTTCATTGTCAAATTTGACACTTCAAGGAAGGGTTGATGAAAACTGCCCCGTGCTGGTTTATCTATCCATGTTAGCATTCCTATCGGTTCTTGCATAAGATTTACTGTTTAGCGTATCTTTGCTTTAGTGTGTTACGTTTATTTTCATCGGAAGAGGTGTTGTTCGTCGACGTCAACGTCAACCGACAACACTGCAAGAATTGGTCTTTGCACTGCAAGGGGAATGGGTCAGATTGCCCCAAATCGTGATTGGACGGTTGATTAGGACCTAGTTTCTCTCTCTCTCTCTGTCTCATTTTTTTTCCACCATTGAAGAGTTGATATTTGTAGGTTATCAGATTTTCTTCAAAACAGCACATTGTTAATTTGCAATAAAAATTATTGATCCTATGTATTCTATATTTTTGTATACACCTGTTAATTGAAACATATATATATATATATCTTTATATGTTTTATTCAGTTTGAAAGAGCATTACAATTTAATACAATATAATAATAACATAATGTAATATAATTACATATATAATAATTTAACATAATATAATAACAGCATAATGAAATATACACAATAACACCATAGATGGAGACCAATAGGTTTTAGAGGACCACGAGCAAAGATGGAAAGACGGAAAAAACGACTCTTATCTGAAGGCCACTCTAAACCGAAACCACAAGTGTCACAAGTGAGTCCCTCTATTGTATTGCTGTTTGAAAGGGTGATATCCCAACCATGACGTAATGTGAAGAACTCAAATTTTCGCAGTTAATCATTTATGTATGTCTTGACTTTTTATTGTTCACCACGCTATATCACAATTATCACAGTTTGCAGAAGATATACACTAAGTTGAGTACATTTTAACAAAAAACAGGATGAAATGTGTAATTAAGAGATATTATTTGCGGACTTAAATTACTAGAATTTTAAAATTTGATATCCAGAATTGTCTGATTAGGGACTAATTAATAATTGTAACTTGTTCCGTCTGGCGTAAGTTTATTGTCACTTTAAAATAGATTGACAAAATGCCATTTTGATAATTATCGGACAAGAATGTAAATCTATTGTTTAGGCTCCGGATGAACTGTTTGTGCCATGGTCTGTGTAGATGCTTCATGTGTTATGACCTTAGCTGTATCTGTGTGGATAACCTTGGTCTCTTGTACCTCATAAACTATACCATGTTTAAACGTTTTTATTGTATATAGAAAGGCTAGAAACATCAGTAGAAATCCTGAAAAGAAGGCAAACAAATCAATAGTCTAATATTTTAATAAAATAAACTATAACAAATGGGGTTGTTACTGGAGAGTCTTCGTTCATTTGTGTTCACATGAAACACATTCTAATAAATCTATTTGCTAAAAAGGTCACTCATTCGAACCCCAAAATTTGATGCTTTAGGATATGTATTAAAGCAACGATGTAATGTTTGACGGAGAGCCCTCATTCATTTGTCTTGACATGAAAAACATTCTAATAAATCTATTTTGCTGAAAAGGTCACTCATTCGAATCAAAAATCTGATGCTTCAGGACATGTATTAAGTAACGTTGTAATGTTTGACGGAGTATCTGTCCTCTGTGGGGAAACGACAAGCGGCGGATGTTTTAAAACAGTTGATCTGAAATAATCAAATCACTGTTACCTATAAGCCACCGGTTTATCACATCTTAGTAGTTTAGATACATGTATATTCAAGGGAATATTTACTTCAATGGCTTGAGATGTTTGAGATTGATTATGAAGATCAGCTACCACTATAATTGGAGATCAACGTTGTAGATATCTGGTGGAAAGATGAGATCTTTTGCTGCATGGATTCCTTGAAAGGTCATGACAGCACCATAGCCATTCTATCATCTATTTCCTAGTTTTATTCGGGGTCAAACCAAGAAAATATATCCCTAACTATTTTATGTTCTGTAATTAGCAATGCCTAATGACAATAACTCATGCGCACCCACACTATCATCGACCAGCACGACAACATGGAGGCAGGAAACGATGACGTACACTAATTGTCATTAATGGATAGACCAGGCACTGTTAATCAACAGCTTATCAATAATTAGTTAATAATTTTATCAATAAAGATTTTCTTCAATCTCCAAGAAATAGATGCTAGTTAGTGGAATTATGAGTTTGTTATTAGTTTTCTTAGAGATGCTGGTTGGAAGATATATTTAGACTAAACATATTCAAGCTAATTTCTTTGTCAAAAGTTTGCTTCCAATCTCCTTCAAAAGATTCCAATCGCAAGGAACTACACTAAGCCGTAAAAATCTATTTTAAGCAGCCTTGTTTGTCACGTAACTTGATTAACGGGTGTGGACGGGGGCATTGCAAGATTGTATTTGTCGTTACTCGCTGTCAATTTGCCATAAATATCGAAGCCTGAGTAAATAATTCGATTATCTTCTGCCAATTTCCTTTATACCATTCCATCGCCGGGTTTGTTGTACGTTTGATTTGCTCAATGCTCTCACAACAGCTAACTATTCGATGAGTGCGTACCAAGAAAGAGCTCTGTGTGTTGCTCGAGCAGACAACAAGCCCAACGGTTGTCGGTTAGGGTTACCCCTAATACTGGGTGTTTTTCAGGAAATCCAACATTTGTCTAGTAAGATTGGAGATATCTAACCTTTCTCTATATACCAGATTTGTCATATCTTTATTGGAAATAACTACTATAAATACTTTTGTGGGAATGCATCTTTAACCAACGGAACTAATCCATGTTGGGGTTTTTTAAAAATGTTATTTTTCAATTATGTTAGAAAGTGAATATTCTTTGATATTTCTCTAATAAAGTATTACTGTTTAATGAACTACTATAATATAGTTCATAATTGAAAGAAACACAGATCTATTTTAAACTTACCACATACAATACTAAGATAGATTCTCATACCATTTAAAAACATCGGTATAGATATAAGTATATATAAAAATCCTCTTTTCCAAGTATCAAACCACAACATAAGTGACCAACACGTACAACAACACCCTGTCCGGCTGAAATAAATCATGTTCCATGTGAGCCAATGTATAAATTATTTTTACTGCTTACTCACTACCCGGGATTATACTTCTACATGTATTATTCACTGAATACGTAATACTATGAGAATACAGTGCTGCAGCATACCCTATAATCAATAATGGTCCCATTACAGTGCCTTGTCGGACACCAAAATTTAAGATTCTCTTGGTGGATTTGGAATTGTTAAATAACACCCACATGCTGGCGATTACACTACATATTACCCACATAGTAACTAAAAACAAACAACTTACGAACAACATGCGCATTTATCCATTAACCATATTAATTCTAGAAATGTAACAACTATACTCGCAGCTCTGGACAATAAATAAAGAAAATATTAATGTAAACAGAAATGTAAGAAAAATACATATCGTTAATTAAGTTGAAAAATTAATCTATGTTAGCAATTTGCAATTAATTATTGCTTAAACATACATTATAATGCAAAAGATAAATCTGCTTATTACAGGTCTTTCTTTAGGCCTGAATTGTTATCTAAATTATTAATTAGACATTAATTAACGTATCCAGACCATAATCAACTCTCGATGTCATCGCTAGCCTGCGATGTTTATTGGATTAGGTTCCGATTTGCTGTTCGACTTCCATTTATGATTTAATCATGAAATGGATGATCGAGGTTAGGCCGAAAATTCAATCACTAAATTCTCGGTTCAGAGAGGATCAATTTGACTGAAATTTTCAGCAAATTCTCTTTACATTATCTAGTTTTTAACTATTATAGTGAAAACTGCCAGCTCTTTATCTAGTCTCCCATAATGTATCTTTAATAATTTAAAGCACGTGGACAAAACTAGGGAGTCGCGGTTGGCTCGCTAACCTGGAGAGCCCGGGTTCGATCACGTTGTTGGCGGGGAAAAAGGTCTTCGGGATTTTCCAGCGTCGATTCCCCTTGTCAGTTGTACAGAACCGTGTTTGTGTTTGTGTGTGTGTGTGCGTGTGGGGGGGGGGGGGCTACAAGGTACAACGTCTAGTCCTTCGGATAGCACGAAAAAAGAGGTTTCGCCTACGTTAAAAAAACAATTTGCAGTTGACATTCCTCGCATAGCACACTATATGGCCGCAAGCCCGTCTTCATTAGCCCGGGTAGAGCAGAATTTAGAAAAATTACCCCCCCCCCCCCCTTCATTTCTGGCCATATTTATAGTTATAAAGTAGGCAATACAAAAATGAAATAGCAAAGGAAATTGTTGGATAATCGATGTTTTTCTTCATTCTCGCATTTGATAATGTAATATATTTTATAGCAGTTTTTTTCATTTATGAAGAACATATTATGTAGGAAATTATAGTATATGACCATAAAATTACAGACAGAACAGTATTGATTACATAATTACTTACAATAAATACCACCCTACATATGTATACACTTGTTTATCCTCTATAGATAGAACGGCTGAAACCCACATTGCTGCAAGGGGAAAATATAATGAATTTTAAATTAAAAATAATAATAAGAAATAACTGTCCGTTAAAGATGCACTATGTAAGAGCTAAATCTGTCTATTACAAGTCATTGTTTTGCTTTTAAATGTTATATAAACTATTATTTAGACATTTATTCACATGACAAGCCTATAACCAACTCTCTAGGTTAGCGGATGGCGGAGATTTGAACAAATTGGAATACGGTCGCCATTTAATAATTTAATTTAAAATATGTCAAATCGAGGCTAAGTCTGGAATAACAAGTACTGTTGTTACGATAATAAACAAAGTATACCACATCTTATCAAAACAGTAATACCTTCGCTTAGAATAAAGTAATGTGAACTTTTATAACAAGAGCGGCCAGTTCTTTATCTAAATCTTAGATAATGCATCTTTAAGCAATGTAATAATAGCTACTGTATAATGTAACTAATGGTCTGTAAAAACTATAGTTACATACAGCAATGGGTTGACTTTAAAATGGAACACCATGCGGTTGTCGTATAGTCGTATCAATAATCTCTATGTCTTTTCCAACAACCAATTTAAAGTGACATACTAATGATATAAAATGCATTTACATACAAAGGGGTTCTCTGTATTGCAAAAGACACTATGGTGCATTTACTCGTGGGGATGGGACAAATGGACTTTCTTCATCGATCTCCTATTCCCAGCCCATGCCGGACTATGATCTTACTTACATCTCTGCCTGATCTCTGCACTAGGAAAGAAAGAACCAAATGGGGCTCTACAATTAAGATAGATTATTTTGATTATTTTGAAAGCGTTAAGGAGCCCCTTGCTAAAATAACACAGCAAATATTTTTCCAGTAAAAATAACCGAAAATACAATAGATGGATAATCAGAGAGAAAATGGTATGACGATGTCATTGGAACATAATAATATGTTGACTCACCAGCCACTGTTATAAGACCAACTATTCTAGTTATAATAGTTATATTCTTTATACAGAACGGTCTATGGTGATACGCCATATCATGATTCAGTCGAGTTTTTTCAGTGTATGTTACAGGAGGCATCTTCGGTTATATTTGGTTTCGATGGATCTTTAAATCTGAAAATATTAAATTGAATAGTGAGGTGGACATGATAGGTGCATAGCGTATAAAGTCAAAAGACATTGTAGCAGCCTCGTGGAATACAGCCTCGTGTAATTGGTTCTTCTTAGGGTATATCCTGATGTTTTTCGCTATGCACAAATTTACCAATTCATGAAAACTTCAAGATTAAAAAAGGGCCCCCCAAGGGTCCCAACCAGGACGTGCCTCGAGATGAAAAACACGTGCTTCAAAAGTCTGAAGTCCATTCTTTAGGTTTGCTATCTAGACTCATGATTTAGTTTCACGTTCTGTTTTGCATGCTGAAGTGTCTGAAAATAAAGCAGTTGATGACCCAAGTGAATCACCACCACCAGTTTGCAAGAGAGAAAGTCATCAGGTGCAGATTTTGGATGTTTCCTTGGACTGTCATTCATGATGACAGTGCCACACGGTTATAGACATAAATCTTTCATTTTTCGGGTTATAAAAGTGTTAGCGTGATGATTATTCTGAATGTTTTTATACCTAATCCAGGGAGCCTGTACGTTTGTTTTTGAGAATTGGTCCCTTCTCAGTAATATACGAAATCTGATCATATTTTAAAATGGGAGTCATCATTTACATTTGACATTGATTGAAATTAATATGACAAGTCAACTCTGTGACATAAAATGTGTTTTATTATATTATTAATTATAAGGTCACAGCTGTGCTAAATATTATTATGGCTTATATACCAGATTATCTTCATATATCTAAATAGTTATTATAACCCATTATTGCCCACATGTGTACATCTTGCATCATATTATTAGTTTCTCTGTCAATAATTCCGAACTTGTATATATATATCCAAGTTTTCCTAGTCTATGACCTGGGATTATCTTGAGAGTTTACCACTTTTAAAACGCATGGTAACATCTAGTCTCTATCATTCAGACATTCAACGAATATTAGTCTGGATGGATTGTAACATTTGAGAATAACTAGGTCTTTAGCTAGATTATCCGGTCTTTTACATTATGAACAAAATCTATAGGAGGTAACTAGCTCTAAAACAAGATGTCGACGCTCATGAAATTAACTTAAAAATTTTCATTTCAGAAAAAATCTATTTGGTTTTTTTTATTAATCCTAATTCGTCGTCACCGCGACTTTAGCTACCGGTTCCATTGATCATGCGTAACCGGTAGTTTGTTTTTTATGTGGTTGATTATCCAGTAAATTTCGCCAAATGTTTACAACCGACCCAGACCCCCCCCCCCCCCGTGCGTTGAAGACTAGTAATAATATGCTCTTTAAGCGACGGTCTTGTCTGCGATATCAACTCGGTGAAAGCGGACGTAAAATACAACTTACTCACACACATAAGCGACGGCTACATTAAAGTGAAATGTACGAGATCTTGAATTATATAGACTTTAGTGGAATGTTCACCGAACTGTTATCCCTTGTAAATATAAAATCCATCTCCGATGGTGTGGGTACAGTGAAAGTTTAAGTCTCTACTAGTACATTGTTGTGGGACTTGGTTGGACTTCCGTATATTCGCAAGAGCGTATTTATCACGCCACAGACATCACTGACAATCAATTATTATCTGTCGTAAAAGGCTGGTAATTGTCAGACAATGTCATCTGACTTATCCGAATAAATATCACATTGTTGTAATATTACCACGTTAGACACAGCCATCCATTTCTATACCATTTAGACTGGGTGCTATAGTACTACAATGTCAATTGAGATGAACCCAATTAAATTCACTGATTGTATGTAATCTCAGGTCAGCAATTCAGGGGAACTGAAAGGGGATAAATTTCATGTACGGAAAGTGAATCGAAGCGAAAGGTTTTAGACATATCCCCACCCCACAGATTTTTGACGAGTGTGGATAACTGAAAACAGGAAAGTGGGGCGAGCCGAAAGCTATTAGACTTTCATTCATACTGAGCTTAAAAATTATCCGGAATTTTCCTCAACTCTCAATTGGGTTTGCACGGGCATCGGGTCTAAAAATGGGCAAGTTGGGACATCCGAACGATTTTATAATTTCATTTAAATCGAAGCGAGTCGAAAGTTTGTAGCCTTTCATTCAAACTGAGCAGAAGAAACAGCCACGCCCATGAGTTATCCGGAACTGCCCCCCCCCCCACTTCTCCCCCCCCCCCAACTTTCTCTTGCGAGAGAATAGGGACCATTTTCGGTCATTGACATACTGCTTAAGGCTTGGAAGCTTCCATTACGTTAATATGTTCTCAGCAGAAAATTTGTCCAAGATTGAGTGACATTTGATTAAAATAGTTCAATCAATAGCGAAAACAGTCCCTAACTCACTTGCACGTTTAGCCGCCGACAGTTCCCACTAGAGCGGATCAGTTCACATATTGTTAGATATTTACCGACAAAATGATACCCATGGATACAAGTTGAACATTCAATTTCAATTAAAGACTAATAGCGTAATGATCAATATATACAGTTTATTTTTATTCTATATGTATATTCCATGTATATTCTATGATTAGCAAAAAGAAAATTACATAATTATAATGACTTGCGAAACCATTCAAGCAAGGATATACAAGAGTAAAGTGCAAATGCATATTGGTGGTGTTTTTACCTGGTGTGCTGATAAATTTAATAGTAAATGTTTAAGATTACAAAAGAACAATTCATATACATGCGCTCTATCGACATGTTTGAGGGATGGTATCAGGTTTCTCGAAGGAGTACGAATTATGTCTCGTGCTCATGCTCGTCATACACATTCATAGCTAAACTAAATGGAGCGATACTTATTACACCTACTTCGTACTTCTAGCCGAATATGCCACGACCGTGGTCACAAAGAAATTTATTTTATCAACATTGAGTATTTGTTTCTATTAAGTCCAATGAGCGTTTAAATATATTTGCCTGCCATTTTCTATTGTAGCAAGGAAGTAGATCTGGAAACACCTAGATTATTCTGCTGTGTCTCGAATGGGAATATATCTCCTACTGACTTGGGTGTTGGAAATTCCCTTTAGAGCATTCAGTAAATGTGAATGGATTTCATGCACAGGATTGTGTGTTGGATTCCAGACAGGTAAATCCTGTCACACTGAATAGTCACTGGTTTGTGGGAAAGTTCTGCAAATTGTTCCCGGCGTGCGCTCTTGGCAAGCAATACGTAACCAATACACAATCGTGTTTTATAATTCTATATAAATATACGTTTTTATAACAGATGGTTTGTTTCGTCCTTATTGATGGTCACAATAATTGTTTTTTTTTTGTATAAACCAATCTGTGTGCGGGAGTCGCGGTGGCTTGGTGAGTAAGACTTTGGCTCGCTAACCTAAAGGTCCTGTTTTCGATTTTTCCGCGTGATTCCCGCTTGTCAGTGGTGCAGGGAGAAATGAAATGGGGTCCTACTGTTCTGCTCCGACAGGGCTAAAGAAGACGACGGGCATACGCTATACAGTGTGCTATGAGGGAAATTATTTTGCCTGGGCCGCGGCACTATGGCCCACTCTTATATCGAATTCCAACTGCCAAGGGATCTTTTACGTCCCATCCGAACGACTAGACCGCTGTCCTTGTCAGGCCCCCCGTCCTGCACCACTGACAAGGGGAAACCACGTCGGAAAATACCGATGAATGCAGAGATCGAACACCCGACCTCCAGGCTAGCGAGCCAGCGTCTTACCCATTTAGCCGCCGTGTCTCCTGGTGCAGGAAGTTGGAGCTGGCAAGTGACAATGTATAGTCGTTACGATGGGACGAAAAACCAATTGGCATGCACATAAAAGAACCCTTGGCAGCCGAATGCCGTCTCCATCAACCTAGTCGGTGCAGAACAGTAGGACGTTAATAATTCCTATTGTATTTCATTTCGTTTGATTTGTATTGGTTCACTCTGAAATAAGCATCGTGAACTGACACACATGTCTTTGGAAATTCTGTTGTACGATATATTTATCACCGATAAAAGATTAGCGACCAGGATCTATGACAAGAAATCCGTATGGTGCCCAATGGGTGTATGCTTTCATTGTATATTCTGATATTTGATATTGTATATCATTAATGCCAGTTACCTGTTATTTAATATTCGTTGTTCGTCCAAGTTGAACTTTAAGAATACTCCAATATATAGATTTTATCCTTAAATTATTAATAAGTGGTTACGAAATGTAATCAATAAACTACAGAAATTTACATAACTTTGATACACACCAATACATGTTGAAAACTATGCAAAAAAAATATATTGATATTCTGTCACAAAACACTTAAGAAATCCAGCACTAAACTCCGATATCCATTTGTTTAAATCTTGTATTCTGGTACACAAAAATGGTCTCTCTTCATTTACAAATTCCCCTCAAATTTTAACACATCTAAAACGCTGTTTTTACAATATTACCGTTATGTACATACACATTTCTGCTTGAACATAAAATTGAAGGCAACAGGTGGCACAATATGGCCGCCGAGCTATGTTATTGTTCTTTCAATATAAATGTCAAATGAATCATATAAATAAACGTCGGGAATGTTTAATTATGCTTGTATATAAAGTACGTATATATGCCCATTTATTCAACTTCATATTGATTTGGGCCAAAGTTTGTTTACGTGAATATTATACAAGACTGTTCTAACACTTAAGCAATGTCATTATAATATAAAATTTTATTGAGTCATTACAGCTGTTGTGAAAACGAGAGGTGGGCAGATTTTCTTATATTTTCTTATGGACTGAATTTAACCACTACGAGAATACAGCAATTGTTACTTAAAGTGCATGATTTATGTGTCGAATGAAGTTGGTAGGAGCTTTGTGAGCGAGGGGAGATTTTAAACAAGTTAATATCGATCATAATCTTTTTATGCGATTTACATATATATGCCTAATGTTATTCTATTGTTGGGGGATTTTGCTTTGACATCAGCGGTTCCGGCTTGGATCTGAATTTCAAACTTCCATAAATCTGATACTATTTACAAGGTGTTTGTAGCACACTAAAGATTTTGTGCTTGGACATCGGCGATTTGAATTTCAAACATCCACGAATCTGGTACTATTTACACGGTGTTTTTAACACACTAACGATTTCGTGCGATGACACATACTATAACAACTATTGCTTAAAGAAGGGCGTGTAGCTTTATTCTTTGGAACATTAAAATAAACGAAAGTGCGTGTAAAAATTCATGTTAATGGGATATGAATGTAACAATGTGATTTATATTCAATTTTTTAAAAAGAAAATATTGTAATTTGTTCGGTTAAAATACGTGAACAGTCTAAATTGAACGACGGCTGTTTACGCCTACTCCGTCCATTCTACACGTTATTATTATGTTTTCGTTTGTCAATCAGCCATAAATATGCTAGGACATGTTTTTCTTTATTCATTACAAATGAATCCCGAAACCGTAGAATACACAACTCGTGTACTGATTATAAAATGTTCATTATGTGTTAAATATTGGACACTGTAAATGTTAGGCGTTATTTGAAGTTATAAATGGTTTGATTGTAACATCGTTCACCCACTATATACATGACAAGGCATCTTCGTCAACAGAAAAAGCTAAGGCAGGTGATTTAGCCGGTGGAATTTGACGACCATTTAACCAATATGTGTTCATCTCACCCTTTCCCTGTAACACAAAATTGGAAAGTTTGACAAAAGTGAAATAGAAGAATGTACACTAATGCTTAGGACAGTTTTGACTAAGATACTAAAATTTATATTTGTGACAGTACAATTTCTTTCGGGCAGTTGAGTTTCCTGCGTTTTATGTGTGTTTTTGTTTTATCAAATTTTACATGGAACGCGGTTTTTTGTGCAATTCGAATGACTGGACATGAGGCATTAATGGTTAATTCTTAGGGATTGAGTTTAAATGAAAGCAGATTAAAGGGATTTATATTTTCTTGTATGTTGAGACTCAATTCCTTATTAGATGTTAGTATCCAGTTTCCCTCTTGTTGGAATGTATACTACAACGAGTTTTCTGACAGTTAAACAGACTTGGAGCAAAGACAAGTAAGGATGAGCTTCTGGATCACCCGAGATCATTCGCTGATTTGGTAGAAAGACGGAAGATTGTTTTAAATGAATTTACCTTCCTGGTAGAGCCTTTAATAATGCACCGTGCTTATATTCACAATGTCTGTTTGTTTGTCTGCACGGTATATCTGTTTGTTCAGGGTTGGAGGCTACACCAGGGCTGCCCCGAGGCTGACATTTGGTACCGGGGAGCAACATGGGCTAGGCGGCGTTATAGGCACAACCCGTCATCCGCTAGTTGTATATAAAGACGCACTTGACACGCATGGAATAAACTCAATATACAGTACAGATGTATCAAACCCAGATACATGGGAGATTTCAATTAAACATGCTGTAAAATATACCCCTCCTAAATTCATGCATAACCTTTTAGAACAGAACTGGCCAGCATGTGTTATCCACTTTGTTGTTCTTGTTGTTGCTATACTTCTTCTTCGGGGGTCGACGCTCTTCGAAAAAAAGCCTAAGGGTCCGCAGATTCAAGTAAGATCGACATAAAGTTGGCATGCTAGTTTCGTCGAGAAATGTGTTTGGGCATGATGTCACAATTCCAAGATTGCTGCGATGACGTTATGCTTGGTTTCTGATCCATATAATGGTGGGTGGGGTGTATCTATGCCTAGATGTTGTGCATACTAACTGCTTTTTCTATAAAACAACCAATATTTCCTCACATTACATAAATTAACCTACCTTAACCACAACTGATCCCCTGCTTTCAATCATAAACTCATTCTTTCGATCTAATTGTAATTTCGTTGATTCACTTATATGTATACGACCAGCTGAATAAGACAAATTAGTCTGTTTACATACATGTATATTGTGACCAATAATACCCCAATTTGCTGAAAGCATATAGGCTATTTTTACGATCATGGGCAAATAAAGGGTTTCAGACCAGGCCAAAAACGTTTTCTTTCCAAAAAGCATTTTGGTTGAGAAATTATTAGAACGGATCAACCCTAAAGAGTGATGTCCGTCATATTCAACGGACATAATTTGAGAACAGATTTTAGTGTGTTAAACTTTATGTTATTGTAAAATTCCATTTTCATAGAACACTCAATCGTAACTAAAGCAAACCCATCTGATTGACCAACATTTTGTTTCAAGACGTTCTCGTAGATAAGTCCTGACAAGCACATCGTCGGTATCCCCATTGGTCTCATTCCGTTCCACTCCACTATACCCTGGGTTTAGCCTTGGAGGGCACGAATTCAATTTATCTGCCGTTGATCGTAGCTTAATTCTACGAACCAATCAAAAACCAGTCTTGCCTCATTGTTTACATTCACACCAATATGGCGGCTTGTTCGCTCGATTATGAGAAAGTTTGCAAGAAATTTAATATAAAAGAAATGACATGCACAGCAAAATATTTTTGATGGGAAAGATAGTTTTATGTCACACTAAACTTGCAGTGGCAAGTCGTTATGCTGCTATCAAGTGTATTGCTCTATAAAAATAGGACAGACGCCAAGAGCAGATAATTTGAATAGGTGTCTTCCCCATGGATAAACCCAGGGTATAGTGGAATAGAACGGAATGTGACCACTGGCGATACCGAGGATGTGACAAGAACAGAAAACGGACATTCTGTTGACGAAAGATGGTAGGTAGCATATACTTAACATATATATTACAATGCTATATATGAAATATAGTACAAATTTTGCACGAAAAGATCCGGCTACGCCTATAATAATGAATCCAGCTCTTCAGCCAATCTGAATCTGGTAAAAGAGGTTCGAAAAAAACCCATCGCCACAGCAATCATTCGGGTCATCCGCCTTCTTATCAGGTAGATATAGATTTTTTAAAGTTAAATAAGTTACCTGCTCCATTTGACATCATACGAGAAGCTGTATTAACTGTATCGCCAAATATACAATATCTGGGCATCTTTAATCCTACCACACCAGCTACTACTGTGCCTGGAAAGATAATTCAAATGCAAATGAAATGGTCGTTAACTGGTCTGCCCCACCGTGGCTATTGAAAGATACATAGAGAGATAATGGGGTTTAACGTCCAATCGACACAACCTTGGTCATAATGTTCAATTTTTTTTCAATAATTCGCTTTGTCGTAGGGGTCTGTAGCAGTTGGAGGAAACTCGGAGATCACACATGGGGCAGGGCAGGCGAACTTACTCCTTATCACGTACAAGTGTGGGATCGAAACCAAGTCACTTGATTCAATGACAAATCTTATTATCTAAAGCGTACTCCCGGCTAATGTAGACTAATATACTAATAAGATTGCTTTAAATTACCACTATACGTGCAGTAAATGTTTATCGACAAAACAAAATACGATGGCATGAAAGACTCTTGTTCCGTTAGCTCCATTTACGCTTCATTCGAGCGCAGCGCATTTTGTTAGTACATAAGTACACTGGGGTAAATACTGAAATAATTGTCCCGCCTCTTTATCCAAAATTAAAGAAGAACTGGGGCAATACCGATGATGAAGACACGTCAATAACACTAATTGAAGGATGGAAAGTAGTTGGATGTTCTCATCTAAAAACAACCCAATGAATACCAGATAGAATCAAAATAAGAAGTGAGATTACAGTATTTCTGTTCAGATGTATGATTACTGTATAAACTGAAGAATGTTCATCAGAATTTTCCAGTGTGGCGCCCTCTTGTCAGTGGTGCAGGATCGAGGGACTGGCAAGGTACAGCGTATATAGTCAGGATGGGACGAATTACCGAGATCCTTAAACATATCGGCGTGCATTTAAAGGAACCCCTTGACAGTTGGAATTCAAAACAAGAGAAGACCGTAGTGCCACTGTTCGGGCAAATTTTTCTTCCACTGCGTCATCATTTGCCCAGCCAGAGCAGAAAAGTAGGAAGTTAAACCCCATTCCATTTCATTTCATTTGCATAATATAACAAAACACGGTTCATTTGTATAAACTGAAAAATCACAATTCATGAGAAACAGTAAATGTCGAGCGTTATACTTTGAAAAGGTTCTACGATCCTTCCTGGTTTCAGAGTCATTAAAAAATGTTCTATTTTGGTGGCTAAAGGGCCTTTTAGTGCTTGATTTATCACCCAGCGTGTGATATTAAGGGAAACACAAAACATGAAAATAGCTTTAAATTATAACCAAATGACTGCTGGTCGAATTATGATGACCTTTTCGTGTGTAAAATGATCATCACAGACAGCCATTATATTAGGAACTGACATAGAATCTTCTTAAGTCACATTGACTTCTATCCAATAAACACATTTCAATTGTAAAAGAATTTTTTAATCGATCGGTGCCCGGGTGATATTATCGATTAACATGCGAACAATCATAATAAGTGCATTAGATCTTCAATTCAGTCAACCAAAATGAGATGGGATTTAACATCGACGCATAATAGGTAATTTTGAGAATAACATATGGCACAGTTTAGTCGTGGGAGAAAAACGGAGGAACCAGAGAAAACCCACGAGGTCACAAGGACGACGGTACCCCTTGTCGTATACATTCTTGGGATCGTACCCACGCCTTTTTGACCCAATGACATAGCTTATATAAGATCTAATCTAAAGCGCACGTGTTAGACCACCTCATCCACACCCCAGTAGTTTATAAGTTAATGTATTAATGTTCTACTACACCCATTTAGCTTAGAATCATAAGCGTGGTTCGACGATGATTGGGTATTTATCTCATAAAAGACATACTTAATATTTTTTTTCATAGTAGGCGCGAATTAACTCACCCGTGTAAAATATAATCAATAAATATATATGTTTACACAAAATAGTTACAAAATGTTTAACCAATTATTGTTTTTGTACGATACATTATTGGACAAAAACAGGATATTGAGCAGTTTTTAAGGCTTAATGGGAAAACATGATATTTCGTAGTTTTTATGGGTTAATAGGAAAGTGCGTATGAATTTATCATTTGTTTGAAGATTCCGATCATTAGGGTTTCACACTGCGTAGCTTGTGTGAAACACTATTGCTTTTGTTAAGATTATTAGGGTTTCACACTGCGTTGCTTGTGTGAAACACTATTGTTTTTGTTAAGATTATTCTTATTATTATTATTTTTTTTCCCACTTGAGCATATCTCAGAAACTACTTGTCAGATCAATTTGATGTCTTCGGTTTTACTGGGAAAGTGGGTGAGACTTAGAGATTAAAGCTATTTCGAACGTTCTGCGACTATGCGAAATGTCCGAAACGCCAAAGTTGTCGTTTTTTTAAATATTGCAGTAATATTAACAATAATCCTTGGATTTTAACATCGGATACATTTTGACATAGCCTGAGACAGGGCACCGGATGTGACACAATTTTGCTAAAAACTCCAATTTTGTCGAGTCGGAACGTCTTTTCACTAGCAAATATTAATTTTTGCAAATCTGATAGATCAAGATAAATGCCCCTACAAAAGGCGCACAAAATGTCGGACTCGCTTTTTTTAATTTTGGTTTTGTATTTGCGCCATTTCGATTTAAAGGTGAAAAAAGGTGTAAAAATGAGCTATTTACAACCCATTCAGGCTTTTCATATTTCAAAATATTTCTTCGCAACTATCATAAACTTGTAGCATTAATCCATACGAAGAGAATCTATGTCAAAATTAGTTTGGAATATGAGTATTTGCCGAGAAATGGTCAATTTTGCATGAGTCACTTTTTACGCGATATTCATTATTGGTGTAAAATTATGATATTTGGTTCCTATGGACAAATAGTATCAATCAATACGATCATATTGATATCACCAAATTGTTTCTGACACCTTCCCTTGCCGAGAAATAACCAATTTTGTCAGGATCACTTTTTAAGATTTTTCGCATTTTAATTTCAGTGTATGGGTTCTGGGTTAATTATTTATTGCCTGATTTGTGTAAAAGAAAAGCCCACCTGGTGCAAATTCTCAACTTACTTCTACATATAAAAGTTTCTGACGGCACCGGAAGTGACGTAATTTTGCCCAAAACTTAAATTTTGACGTGTCGAAAGGTCTTTTAAAAAGCAAATATTAATGTTTACAAATCTAATAGATCAAGATGAATGCTCATACTAAAGACGCAAAATATGTCTTTCTTTGTTTTGTTTTTTTTTTATTACGGTTTTGCATTTGCATCATTTTGATTTAAAGCTGAAAAAAGGTGTAAAAATGAGCTATTTACAATGCATTCAGATTTTTCATATTTTAAAATATTTCTTGACAACTTGCACGAACCTGTAGCATTAATCCATACGATGACAATTTATGTCAAAATTAGTTTGTAATATTAGCAGTTGCCGAGAAATAGACAATTTTGCATGAGTCACTTTTCACGTTATTTTGCCTGTAAAAGAGTTAATTTAATCCGATTTTCTTTTTTTTCTCCATATGATGCCTAATGCCATTTTTGACTGAGCCGATCCAATTTTACATTTTCAGTGTAACCGGAAATGGCGTCATATGGGCAAAAACTGTATTTATAGCCTTCAAAACAGATATTTTTTTCAGAGGAGTCTGATTTGTAATGTTTTTAAATTTATGACATTTGATTGCAATCAACAAATAGAATGAATCAATACGGTCATACAGATACCAAAAAATGGTTCCTAACTTTTACTGTTGCAGAGAAATAGACGATTTTCTACAAGTCACTTTTCAAGGTTTTTGGTCTATAAAAGTGTCAATTATTATTTGATTTTCATAAAATTTTCACCATGTGATGCCTGAGGCCATTTATAATTTCATGGAACTAATTTAACATTTTCATTATCATCGGAAGTAATGTCGTTTTGGTAAAAAATGTATTTTTAGCCTTCAAAACAAATATTTTTTGAAGTGAGTTATATTTATTATTCGTTTAACATTATGATATTTGATTCCAATGGAGATATAGATTGGATCAATACGATCATTTAGATGTCCAAAAATTGCTTCTACCATCTTTCTTTGTCGTGAAATAACCAATTTTGTCAGGATCACTTTTTAAGACTTTTTTCACATTTTAAGTTCCATTAGATAGTCAGCTAACTTAGTGGTAAGTTAGTAATAAATTTTTGACATATCTAACGCATGGTAACAAATGTATAAATGGAATTGATATTGCTGGATTTGGTTGATTGTGCGTCCATTTCATAACACGTGTGCAATGCTTACGTTGAAATCTGTTTAACGGTTTCATTGGTACCGAATGTGACATAAGTTCAAGGGTAACGAGGCACCGGAAGTGACTTAAGTTGAAGGGTAACGTGGCACCAGTGAAACCCGTCATTACTGCGTCGCAGTTCTAGTTTTCATTTGAGCTTATTTTCTTGTTAACGGAAAACCTCGATTTAATTAAAATAGCAATTGTTTTCTATGGCGTCGTATTGTGTTTATTGTGTCAATTGCTAAATGCCGCTCAAAACTGTTTTTGTTTTTCTTCAAAATTGCTTGAAAGAACAATACAAAGACAACAACAACGTTTTATGGACTCTTGCAAACGATATGGTTTTAAAAAAAATCATACAGTATTTAAATCATACCGAATCACGCCTGGATTCACATCAACGTATTGAACACAACGCTTGCAGTCCAGTGACCCAACTATTTCACAACCGCAGCTACAGATAACTATAGTTGAGATATAATTTCCGCACCGAAAATCGCGAAAACATATCATTCAACTAGACCTTAAAAGTGATAAATTTCAATATTTTCAAAGTGTGCTTACACATCCACTATACCTACCCGAATTAAGACCAATTCGTATCGTGACATATACCCTTGGTTGATGTGGTACTGTCATAGTGCTAAACGTTCCGACTACATCTAGGGCAAAATTACTTAATTCCCGGGCATGTCTATCATTAGGAGAAGGTAAACCGGAAGCAACCATGTAGCAATCCCCTAAAAATAATAAAATTAAGTATAGACATAAAAACAGAACAAAGAATTTAGATCAGGGAGTGACAATATTTTCAATTCATGAAATGTTTTAGCCATCTGCAACATTTTCATGAAGTACTAAAACCTGCCTCATACGAGTGCATCCCTATTCTGCATAACCGCATAGCGTAGGTCAACGTGCCTGTGTGAGACCAGTGTAGCGCAAGGCATGTGTCCATTGTTGGGTGACGCAAGCATAGTGTTCGATTGTCACAAATCCAAATCTAGATTGTTTCCAGATTGGGATTATATTCTTGTATGTTCAGGTGTGTGGATGCTCACATTGCGTTAAAGCAAATCCTGATTTACAAAACATTAGAAACCGAGTCTAGATTGGCAGTTACTATGCAAATGCGCCCTATGGTACAGATATATGAATCTTGAAGAAGAGAAACTGGGTCTTTCCTTCATTTGAAACTGTTATATCCATTACCCTACCTTGCTATGGTACATTATTTTATACTAAAACAGACAAACGAAAGCTGATCATGTCTAAAACATTTGTAAGGGCAATCTTGATTTGTAATTGGTGGGTAAATTGTTCCAAAATTTGACTATAGAAGCGCAGGCTAATAATTCAAACAACTGTTTCAGGACAGCACTGAGCCCCCTATATAAAATGGGGGAATATCTTATGAAAAGTTAGCATAGCAATTTGGCGGACTTGTGTCTGAAGATTTGAAGGTGAGAATAAAGATACATTTATGGCTGACAACTTCACGCCATTTGGTAAATGAGATTTAATTTAATCTCCTTACCCTGGGAAATGAGAGAATGTTATTTCTTTAATACAGATATAGCAGAAACAGAAAGCGTCAGTAAAGCATCAAGGAAAGAAAAAGAAATTAACGCCCACTTCAATACAAACCATGTCATATTGGGACTAACATACGGTCCAATTTTTTCCCATAATTCGCTTGTGTGTAGGGTACTTTAGCAATGGTAGGAAACCGGAAGTCCCGGAGAAAACACGCGAGTTTAGACAGGCGACATTACTCCTTATAACGCACAAGTGTTTGATCAACTATTTTTCATATTGCGCTTCTTTAACAGTTGGAGGAAACAACAGGAGAAAGCCCACAATGTTGGACAGGCGACCCTACTCCTCTTCATGTACTGGTGTGTGATGGATCGAACCCCGTCACTTGACCCAATGATAGACTTTACGATCAAAGGGGACTGTAGCAGTGGTAGGAAACTGGAAGACCCGGAGTAAACACCTGAGATTAGGCAAACGACATTGCTCCTTATCACGCACAATTGTTGGATCGAAAACACGCGTTAGACCAATGGGCCACCTAGCTCCTTTTCTTTTATTTTAGGCAACTTACCTATTGTCTCCACCTTATATACATCATAATCACCGAGGAGACTGTCAAATACACGGTAGATCGTATTCATCATATCTATAATCTGTAGCGGCGAACTGTTTAACACAATCTCGTTAAAACCACAAATATCAGAAAAAAATAGAGTCACTCCATTGTAGAATTCTGGTTTCACGGATTCTTCGCTTAACAGTTTACGAGCTATGGATATTGGTAACATTTCGTACAATAGAGTCTGTGTGCGCTTTCTCTCTTTTCGTTCGTCGTCACCTTTTGACCTTAATACTATATTGAAATGCTGCATTTTAGACACAAGTCTGTTAATAATTATCACAATGAAAGGAGACAATAAAGTTGGTATTACCAAGGCAATGATAGCTATTGTTAATTTGGACTGCAATGATAAACTAAGACCATCAATAACGGTTAAGAGGTTTTCAGCCACATCGTCTTGTAGCGTTTTTAATATATTTAAGTAGGACGTAAGATTTGCAAACCATATTTCACCAAGTTCGACCGATGGACGTGATTCGTTGTTTCTGAGAATTCGGCCTCGATTTTCCTCTATTATTCTACCTAGATCAGTATTTAGGTGTTCATCAATTCTTTCTTGAATAGCTTGTGAGTACAGTTTGCTTTGCTGGAGATAACTATCTCCAAGATATCGTCTAGTGTGATATCGATATTCCTCAGTGGGACTAAAACCACCTGGAAAAATAAATGAATTAATGAATAAATGAATGAATGAATGAATAATTGAACACCTATATACAGTTACCAATTACCCTACTACAATTATCATTAATTTCTATTTTGATTTCTACTTGCGACGGCCGATAAACAGGACAGAATGTGCCACAGGCCTCTCGTTGTCAGCCTCCTTTCTATTAAATCCGGTTCGGGGTGTCTTGAAATATAACCGTAGATATTAATATACAAATATATTCGTGTATTCCGACACACTGGGATCAAAAGGTCGTATTCAAAAAATCGTATCTGATATTGCACCCAAAGCCCAGCTTAGGCATTGACCTGCGGGTAGGGGGCCCCGCGGTTCATGGCAAAAATATCATATTATGTAATTATTCTTGTATTACAGACCGTTTAATTGTGTGTTACTCATGCATGCCATTCAAAAGGATATGAAATAATCTTTTCGTCGCGTTAAGGGCCCCGCAATTTTAGTCAGGCCCAGGGCCTCGCTTTGGTTAATCTGGGCTTTGTGCATCTAGACATCGAGTCGAAATGTCGTAGGTAAATTGTGGTATTGTGCGCATAGCCACTAACAAAAGACGTCGTTGTACGTACATGTATGACTAAATATACAGGCGAGAAAGATTAATCAGTTTATAGTTTTACAAAAAGAGCTATATTGGACACAGATTGGCCTTCAATTAATATTGAACAATAGATGTTGCACAATACTTCTAAAAGATACACAGTTAAATGTAAATCAATACTGGCTACTTTCGTTTGCTAGTACCCTTTGGTAAGTAACAGAATCGATTTTCTTCGCGCTTAATATTATGTACATTGTTTGGAATGATCTATATACGATGTTTTACAATATCTATAAAACCATTTTTGTTGGGTTTGAAATACGGACAAGAAAAAATAACAGTTTTGTCAAATATGGCAGATGCGACATTTTGACCACCCCCAACAACAATTATAATTGTCTATTGAAATATATTGTTTATCGGAATATTGAAAATAAACATACCATACCTTTCGCAAAGAAGGTGCTTCCTAATGCTCGTTCAATTCCCGCTTGTTCCTTGCTAAGTATCAGAAGATGGTAACCGACCGACTGTCTCCATACATGGCCATTAGCTTTTCGAATACTGGCACCAGTCCATTTTATAAGAAGGGTATTTTTTACTGTATAAAAATCTATCACACTTTGTATTGTCTGATTAAAAAGCACCATCCGGAATTGTCCCACGGTTGTCTTGAATGACTGTCGAGTCGCGTAATAGACTTTTGAATTCTCATTGGCATGTGGCCAATAGGAAATTTTATCAATTGCTTCATCGGTATTTCTGTAAGCTGTTGCAATTTTTCCAAACAGGCTATTGTCAAAGCCGGCACCAATATATAATGCACTTAAGCCTCTTTCAATTTGTAAAAAATGTATCGCCGTCCCTAACTCTAAACTCAGATGTATCTCCTTTGATATAAAATTATTATTATCAATGCCCTCCACTGCATCTTGAGAAGATACAGAATTCTGTACTACAATAGTTAACACAGGAACTATAGAAACACACAATATCATAAAGGACTGGAAGTTACGCCTGTTGAAAATTCTTCTGCATCCAGTCTTGCTATACCTATGTGATGTTGAATAATCACTAAACACTGTGGACGAGTAGACGGAACTTGCACGTGATATCATTTTGTTTCATAAGAAGGAGAATTGTACACTTGGTGATCGCCCAAAGTCAAATGCTCAACTCATTTGGAACATCCATTTACTATAACTCGAGAATTCATCCATCCTGAAAATACAAGAATTAGTAATTGATAATGTCCGCTATACGGATGATATTAATGGTCATCATCATTACAAGAAGAATTTTACCACCTTATCTTAAATATCTCTTGATGAAGAAGTGGCTTATTCCGTTTTCGGAAATTGCAGTTATGTTGATACAATGAGATGTCACTCAAAATAAACTAAACCCATAATAGATCTCTTAGATCTTAGATGCTAAACTTTTGTCATTCGGGAAGCTCATTCTCGACAATGGGTAACATAAGAGTGCCCATTAGTTATATTTATTAAGAATATCCGTACCTAAGACCACCGCTATTTTTGAAATGATGTATTTAACTTAATGGGACTATTATGAAAACTAACATGATTTTATTGACTGTGGACACTTGTAAAAGTGTACAAAAAAGTATTTTGCCCGGGCAGTACATTTTTGAAATAAATTTGATCCCGATAACAAATACAATTCTCGACTTCGTTTGATCTTAAAGCCGTGACTCGTCCAAAATTTAATGTTAGCAGACAGAAATCCATGGATGCCGATAAGTACCCTTTCGTCCGGAAGTTGTGAGTTAACAGCGCGAAGGCAAGAGGACAAGAAATGATCAGTGCTAGCCAAGAAATTGAATCAATTCTTAACGTCTCATTGTTCATTTTCTGCCTGAACAAATACATGTAATCCGTAATAGTGAGTTGCCCGTATTACTGAGTTCAATTTATAAGGAATATAGAAGAAAAAAATTGGTTCTTTCAATATCTGGCCGTATACGTGAGTTGGCCGTAATATTGAGTTGGTCGTTAAGCGGGATTTCACTGTACATGCTTTTAAGAATGACAAGGATTAAAATAGCCAGCGTCCTGTTTCATGAAATTTTAACTAAAGATAAAATCCAAATTTTAGTAGATACTCCAATTTTGAATGGATAAGCACTACAACCAGTCTAATATTATCCAATATTTAAAATTAACATCTCTTTCTCTCCAACCCCAGTCCTGTAAAAATCTATGGCTAGACCCAGGAAAACACTACCCCATGAAATAGTCGTCTAAAGAATTCACACGATCTATCTCTATTATTCTAGCCCCGCTCCCTTATATAGGTGCATATTCTTTTGTCTCTGTTTATTCTTTTGTCTCTGTTATTTACGTAAACAACTGATAACAGCTAAATTCCAAATATGGAATGGACATTCACCCCAAACCTGTATATCGACAGGGATTGTTACCTTATTTGGTCAACAAATATGATATATGTTTTATAACAAAGAAAGATGTGAATGGCCAACATGCTCATTAATCTATAGCTCAGTTAACGTATCAAAATAACCGGCATATACTTTCTATATTTGTGGTTATGAAGTTAGAATCAATAATATGAAAGACTAGAAGAATGCCCGGCTTCGCTCGGGGGTCATAACCCCGAAACCGGAAGTGGTAGACGACAGTCACAAATATTAGGTCCGAGCTACCCCTATACCCCAAATTTCAGACTCGGGGCAGACCTAGTGTAGCCGACAACCCCGAACAGACATACAAATAGACAGACAAACGACAGTCACAAATATTAGTATAGATAACGCTATCCATCATATTTCCACATTCTTGTCTTTAGACCCCATGTCTTGTTATTGTCACAATATTCATAACCAATTTTAATTTGCGTTTCAGAATTAACTTATACCATAGCTAATAATTTGACAATGGAGAATAATTAACCAAAACCCTAATATTATTTTACATAGATGTTTCAAAGCACAAATTCTTTCCCTCCATATTACTACACAGGCCCCAGATCACCATTAAGATACCCGCACCTTATCAAAGCCTTACACCCTTTCTTGCAATAGCGGTGTTCTGTTCACTGGGCAAATTGAAAAGTTGATTCATATACGATGGAATTTGAACGTTTTATAACTTTGATTCCAGATCATGCTCATTATGGTTTTATTCGTCAATAGTATACTGTTAATGAACACAAACAGATTGAGGAATTAATTGAACCTCGGTGCTACTGAGGTATTACAGACCAATAAAGTCTTACGCGTGCTTTATATGTGGAGATTAAACAAATAACTGATAGGAGACATAGTGACTCGTGGATAGGGAACTGGTTCATACACCAGGAAGTTCCGAGATATTTCCAGCCTGACTTCCCTTTGTCAGTGGTGCAGTGGCATTTAACGGTCTAAATTTCTGCATCAACTGGGCTCATGAAGACAGGCATCACCCAGTGTGCTGTGGGGGATATTTCTGCCTATTCGTCATTGAATTCTAATTCTAACCAGTATAAAGTTAGCCACATTATTAAAATAAACTAACTCGTACATTTCGGCACTAGTTTTTCATTAATGTCTGATATATACAATTTCCATTGTCTAGCTGTACATATACATACATACCTTATTAACCGTATAAACTATCAACTCGTATACATTGATTTTCTACATATTATATCAAATAGTCGTCTTAATCAGCCGTCCAATGATTCACACTCTACACAGAACTAAGCATATATCCGTACTAAAATTATTTTATATAGAAATCTAGTGGGAAATCAATGAATGGATTATACCTGTACTTGTCAAGGCAATTTAAACATCGTTTCCACCCAAATTCTTCATTAAATACTTTAATGGAAACTATATAAAAACAAGAGGCCATGGGGCATGGTTGGCAACTAGCGTTAAAGCTAAAATTCGATAAAATACAATCGGAACAGATTTTTTTGCTATTGTTTATAGGCTGATCAAGATGTATTTAATGTACACGACATGGCGGTAAATGCAATATTTTATAAGTTCATGGTCAATATGTACTCACTCACGAATCGACATACTTATGTATGCAAATGTCTTAATAATCAAATCTATGTGCGATTAATCGAGCGAAGATATTCATTTATAATACAATGTATTTTCTACAATGTAATTTTATTTTTAAGCAGCTTATCATAGTTTACATAACAAACGAGAGAGGGGGGCTAAAGTCCACTCATCTACAAACTAGATCATTTCATGACTAACATATAGCTCAATTTTATTTCAATAATTTTATTAAATCGTTTTGATCTTTAGCTGTGAGAGAAAACCGGTTTACGCACACTACGAGGCTGGATAGGCCAGCCTACTCCTTGTCACGTACAAGCTGGAAATCGAAACCACGCCAGTTGACTTCATGACGGGCCTTATGATCTAAAGCGCACGCAGTCACCTACACTAACCACCCCCTCCACCCACACACACGGAACCCTCTGGAACTGCCCCTTGTAGAACCGGCACATGGGTTTAGACGCCTGGATGAAAGGTGTGTGTATACAAAAATAATATTATCTAATTATCTGCGAACTTTTGAACATGAAGAAATGATACGTTATTAATGAACATAATTACTAATTACATCTCCCCTAACAACGTAATTATATAGTCAATTAGAACGGACGTGTTCATTTGATAAAGGCGTTAATGATTTGTATCAAATAAACGTAGTATTAATAATCTATAAATTATTTACAGTACGGACAATAACGTCTAAATACTAGGCCAAGAGCATTGAACTCAGTCTGGTTTAACAGAAGTTCGAAAAAAAAACCTCTAAGAAAAGGGTGAATCATTGGTTTGATTAATCGATATTCGAACCTACTAGTATAGCTCAGGACATAACTGTAATTTTTTATCTAAATATGACGATGGCTAATGAGATGATCTATGCACGTAATTATCACGGAGCTGTGCATTCGTAAAAAAAAAATCGACACCATCCATCACGCCCCTCTATCTAATTTTCCTATAATTGACTTCAATATTTCAAATGTAACTATTATACACACCTACAAATCGATAATCGATTATAAACATTAATCATAAAATGATCTGTTCTGATTTAGTTTTTTTCAACACGGCGACATTAATGCACTCCCACTACGCATGTCGGTTGAAAAATCACAATAGCACTCAAGTCGTCAACGCGATAATAAAAAAAATCTATGTGCGATTAAATAGGCGAAGGTATCCATTTACTAAACAATGTATTGTCTACACCAATCAATGAGTTGCTTGACTGAAATATTTTATGTAATTTTATTTTTAAGCAGCTTATCATAGTTTACATAACAAACGAGTTTCGTGCTATAATAAAATATGCGTCATTTTCAGGGTTTCCGATGTTAGAAGTAGACAAGGTATGATGAATTGACTCCCTGAAGGGCCTTTTGATCTAAAGCGCAGGCAGTAAGTTACCTCCACCCCTCAACCCCAGTTTAAAGCGGTTTGTAGCTATATAAAACACAGGGTGGCCAAAAATAATCATTTGTTTCGAATTAAACCATTTCTACGACAGCATATTCGTTCGTGCTAGCTGTTTTAAAGATTTAAAATGGCCATCCACGTTTAAAATCTGCCCGGTATTACATTAACGCATACACAAGCTTCTAGGAAAAAACGGTTTACGACGAATGGGCTAGAATTTATATATGGCGAAAACATAATCAGCCCACCTAAAGCTAATCACTCCAAACATTAGATAAATTGTATATGTGGCATTTAGTAATTCAGTGAGAATAACGCATGACACAGTTATATAGCATACACGTTACTTGGAAGATTTATTTCTGGCGACGTTTCGATGCTTGATAAAGACGAG